CTGATAAGGCCTTCAATATCCTCAAGACATGTTTCACTTCTGCTCCCATCCTCCAGATGCCAGATGCAGCAAGGCAGTTTGTGGTGGAGGTAGATGCTTCGGACGTGGGAGTGGGTGCCGTGCTTTCTCAAAGAGCAGCTGAGGATGGCAAGATGCACCCCTGTGCCTTCTACTCCCGTCGGCTAACCCCTGCCGAATGCAACTACGACATTGGGAACCGCGAGCTGTTGGCTGTCAAGCTCGCCCTTGAAGAATGGCGGCACTGGTTAGAGGGGTCAAAGGAACCATTCGTAGTGTGGACAGACCACAAGAACCTGGAGTATATCCAAACAGCCAGGAGGCTGAACTCCCGTCAACAGCGGTGGTCTCTGTTCTTTACGCGCTTCAATTTCACGCTCTCCTACCGCCCGGGATCTCGCAACATCAAACCTGATGCTCTTTCCCGGATGTTTCAGAAGGACGAGACCACCGCCATGACAGCCCCCATTCTTCCCAGCCACTTGGTCGTAGCGGCCCTCACCTGGGAGATCGAGAAGCAGGTCATGGAGGCTCTTCGGGACCAGCCAGGTCCAAGCACCAGCGCCCCCAACCGTCTGTTTGTTCCAGCAAATCTCAGGTCACCTGTGATTCAGTGGGGGCACGAATCCCGTCTGGCCTGTCATCCCGGCATCACTCGCACCCTTCATCTGGTCCGCCAGCGGTTCTGGTGGCGGCGGATGAGACGGGATGTCCGAGAATTCATCCGAGCTTGTCCCACTTGTAACCGAAACAAGACCCCCAACCAGCCTCCTGCTGGGTTGCTGCAACCCCTACTCATACCCAAGAGGCCCTGGTCCCACGTTTCACTGGACTTTGTTACGGGCCTTCCGCCCTCTGACGGACACACAGTCATCCTTACCATTGTTGACCGCTTTAGTAAGATGACCCACTTCGTGCCCCTTCCCAAACTACCCTCTGCTAAAGAGACCTCCCAGGTGGTCCTGGAACATGTGTTTCGTATCCATGGCCTACCCCAGGATATAGTGTCAGACCGGGGCCCGCAATTCTCAGCAACCTTTTGGAAGGAGTTCTGTCATCTCCTTGGGTCCACCGCCAGCATATCGTCTGGATTCCACCCGCAGTCAAACGGCCAGACTGAACGCATGAACCAGGAGCTGGAGAAGGCACTGAGGTGTGTGGCTTCCCAAAATCCCCGGGCCTGGGCTCAACACCTGCTCTGGGTGGAATATGCCCATAATTCACTCACCAGTTCCTCCACCGGGCTCTCCCCCCTTTCAGTGTGTCTACGGGTATCAACCTCCACTGTTTGCCAGCCAGGAGGCGGATGCCACCTGTCCGTCTGCTCTTGCGTATGCCCGCCGCTGCCGCCGCACTTGGGCCCAGGCTCGCACTGTGCTCCTGAAGTCTGGAACCAGCTACGCCGTCGGTGCCAACCGACGGAGGACCCCAGCACCTACTTACCGGGTTGGTCAGAAGGTCTGGCTGTCTGCCCGGGATCTGCCGCTGCGGGTTGAATCACGTAAGCTGGCCCCTCGCTTCATTGGTCCTTTTCCTGTGCAGAAAGTCATCAGTCCAACGGCGGTCCGACTTCAGTTGCCCGCTTCCATGCGGGTCCACCCCACCTTCCACGTCTCCAAGGTCAAGCCGGTCCATGAAAGTCCCCTGGTCCCTGCAGCTCCGGCGCCACCTCCTCCGCGCCTCGTAGATGGCGGTCCTGTCTTCACCGTCCGGCGGCTGCTCCGCTCTAGGCGAAGGGGTAGGGGTCTCCAGTACCTCGTTGACTGGGAGGGATATGGTCCAGAGGAGAGGACCTGGATCCCGGCCAGGAGGATAGTGGACCGGACCCTTATCACTGACTTCCACCGACTACATCCTGATCAGCCTGCAATCCGTAGGGGCCGTCCAAGAGGGGTTCCTAGCCGTCCTGCCCGCCCTGCTTCCTGTCCTGTGCCTGACCCTGCTCCTGTCTCAGTGCCTGTCCTGTCTCCCGACCGTGACCCTCCAGCTCCTTCTGAGGATGAGGAGATTCACTCGGACCGCTCGGAGGAGTTCTGACCCGCCGCCTGCTCCCCTCCACCCTCCCGGCATGATGTTGTTCTTGGGACTTCTGGGGCCGTCCCTTGGAGGGGGGGTCCTGTCATGAGCACTCTCTCTCCCTGGTAGCAACATTAATTGCATTCAATTCTCTGCCACTCTGCTCACTCTCTCCCTACTCTGCCTAACGAGCTCCACCTGGCTCCGCCCTGCTCTGCTCTTGTTACCTGGCCAGCTGCACTGCATTTCCCACTCACCATCCTCACCTTGCCTCACTCTGTTCTAATTACTCTGCCAGCTGAACTGCATTTCCCCACTAACCTCTCCCAGTATATCAAGCCCTGTTTTTCAGCCAAGCCCTGTCAGATCGTCTTCAAACCCGGACCAGTAACCTGCCTGTCTGCGCTCTGACTCCTGTTTGTGATACCGATCCTTTCTTGACTGCCTCCTTGTTCTACTGCCCCGTCTATCCCGACCTGCCTTCTGGACCTCGACTACTCTCCGATCTTCAGCCCCTCCGGTAACTCGATTCTGCCTTCTGTCTCTCACCACGATATTTGCCCAGCCCTGATCTGTACTTCTGCCTGCCATTCATATTGCTGTTGTGTGTGTGTTCCCCCAGGTCTCCGACCACCAGATGAGCGTGCCCAGACGCTTCACCACCCTCAGCCCGATACGCCGCTCCATCACTGGGGAACACACACACTAAGCACTTGGACTGGACACCCCCGGACATTTGGTGACCCCCGGAGCACAGGTACCCACAGGACCCTGAAAAATCCCCAGAGCCCCAAGCACCCCTGGAACCCCTGACACCCCTGGCACTCCTCTTCCCGCCTGAAACCTTCAATAAAGAACTCTGAATTTGAACTTGCGCTCTTGGGTCCTCTTCTGTCCGTGACAGTGTGAATTAGACCATTTTCCCATCCTGCTAAGCATTCAAAATGTAACGAGTACTTTTGGGTGTCAGGGAAAATGTATGGAGTAAAAAGTACATAATTTTCTTTAGGAATGTAGTGAAGTAAAAGTAAAAGTTGTCAAAAATATAAATAGTAAGGTAAAGTACAGATACACCAAAAAACGACTTAAGTAGTACTTTCAAGTATTTTTACTTAAGTACTTTACACCACTGAGTACAGGAGATTCCATTTGTCTCCTGCCGCATTCAAGGCTGTAAGTGATTAAAACTGGACCTGATGTTGTGAATATACTTGTGTGAATTAAATAGTCGTGTTAGTTTTTTTTAAGAGCTTATAAAGAGCTGCACATTTTTATATGTCTTATTGCATTGTATGTATTCCGGTTGATGTATTTTTAGAGTGACTTGGTCGAAATTGTATGTTGGGTTAACTGGTTATCAGGCACGTTCCTGTTGTCCGGTCATAACCTTCAAATTTAATTGAGTTGATTAGATCAGAATCTGGGTGTATGGTCCTGCCTTTTTGTTTTTCACCAGCAGAGTTCAAAGTAATGCTAATTTAACTTGGGGGTTTTAAGGTGCCTTGTCCCCGATGGATAAAAGGTCTCAGTTTTCTGTGGTAAATTGAGTCATTGTAAATCAAGCTCCTGATTTATGCTTCTAGACTTTACATTGAAGACTTCTGGTATGTTTCCGTTGATAATTGTATTCTAATTGCTTAACTGTAATAAACCTGCATAGGTTCTAACTGTACATCTTTGGCTTTGATAGACATAAAAAATTAAAGCTATAAATAAGCCTCTTAAAACCCCCTACAGTCGATTGACGCACTGGTGCGTCAATCTAAGTAACATAATAAAACAATCCCCATCAAAATCCATCAGTTTAAGCTAGAGATATCTGTTTTTTTTGCATTGGATGCATCTCAATCCACCACATCCGCCTATGTTGCACTTCCAAATCTGTGGTGAAAGGTGGCAGAGCTAGAGGGGTGTTTGTTAGACCATGAGACATCCCGAAAATCAGTCTTGTCACGAAAACGTCCGTAGCGTCCGTATGGTTTGACCTGCAAACTAATATGATAGTATTATGGTTTGCTCTATGACCCCACAAGTGTCGCAGGACTTGTCGTTGTGCCAACTTCTGTTAGTAGCATCGGAACCGTTTGGGCTACACACCAATAATAACAACGGTGTTCTCAGTTTTGCTTTACGACCCCCAAAAGTATCACAGGCCTCATCTGAAGGTAACCGGTACCATTATTTTGAAATGAGTGAAAGTATGAAGGTAGTTTTGTGAGTCCAATGTAATTATATTAGACTATTCCATGCCGATGCGGAGACTCGCAAGCTAACTATTGCTATACGTGTATGAATGATAGCATTTATTCACATAATAATGGAGGCAGATTGATAAATGTAGGTTATTATTATTCAACATAATTTTAACATCAACTACAGAGAGAAAGACATAGACAGGTCTAATCACACTCCTCTGGCAGCTGGGAATGTCTTCTGCAGTATGAGCCAAGGAGAATGAATAGTAAACAAAGATTTCACACATCATTTCATGGCTGTGGATCCTCAATTGCTGTTGTTATTTGTCGTCTCCCTGAAGCCCCCATTTAATAGAATAGAATACAAGGTCCAACTCCTTTGCCACTGAGCTGCCTACCTCCCTCCTCCCCGCAACTAATACCATAAGTTGTTTTATTGCTATGCGTATGTGTAACAGTTTTGCCTCCGTCCCATTTCACACCGGTTACATATGGCAACATCATATTGGCTGTGAATGTGTTCAGTCACACCAATAAAGGCAGTTCAACTCTGCCAGATGGAAAAAGAGACAAAGTCAGTGCAAGATTGCAATGACTGACTAACATTGTGATGGGTTGAGGGTAAGGTTATCATTGCACTGCTATTTATTACTGAATGTTCAAATCTCTTGCAGATGTTCCCTGAGTCAGCTCTGTTTATTGTGTTCTTACTGGCATTGCGGCATAGCATCATGAAGGAAGGCCTGTGGGTAGATTTTGCAGTCCAGGCACCAGGCACAGATGATCTCTGGTATCCAGGACCCAATGGATCAGCTCTGGCACAAGGGTGGTGGAAACCCTGTCACAAAAGGAAGAGAGAGGGAGAGATAAAGATGGAGAGAAGAAAGAGTAAGAATAGAGGGGACGATAATAAAGAAGGACAGAGAGAGAAAGGAAACCATTGATGAATTTACAGGTCAGAATAATGAGATATGTTATTTGCCAAAGCCACTTGTTACTCATACAACATCAGCAGTTGCCCATCTGATTGGCTGGCTGTGCCAGAGGGTGATGATGATGATGATGATGATGATAATTACACACCTGTGTGGTCTGAAATGGCCTCAGCTGTGTGATTCTTCCCCAGTGAAAAAAAAGCGAGACAATCTGCTATGCTGAGTCAGAGGCATGCTGATGATGCCAGACCAACCATTGTACAGTTGTTGGTTCTGTAAGACACATTGTTGTAGTGTCATGTTTTGTAGTCTGGTTCTAAAAGATATAGAGTGAGGAAAACATGGTTCACATGGCTGGAGACGATGTTCAGTCTTTCTTTGTTGTCCTAACCATACCTTTTCACTGATGCTCAAAAGGCTCTAGCTTGTAAATAACACTTGTTTTTTAAATTTTTGTTTAATTGTGAAAATCACCAACACATCTCCATATACAAATGTAGAGACTTAGACGTGGAATTAAACCATGAGAGAATGTATCTAAGTCATAAGGCACAGCTCTTCCATCCTCCAAAACAACATTTGTTGGCCCACTTTGCATCAACCTGACTAGTTGAAACATAGAAACAAAAGGAAAGTCATCCATGAGGATCTAACTGAGGAAATGATTGGCGTTTTGATGTTTATTGTCTGTTTTTGATCCTCATCCCGTAACGTCCAGGTTACCATGGTATTTTTAATTTACAAACCAGATGCTAAGCCAGACGTCATTACATTCTCATTTTAAATATTACCTCTTAATGGTAACCATTAGTTGATCTACCCTTATAGAAGGGGCATGGAAGACAGATATTTTTCCTACTGAATATAGCTACTATATGTACCCTGATTCCATATGGTTTGGCCCTGCAGCAAGGGTTTGTGGGTAGGCCAACACACCATGCCAACAATGCCATCTCACTTTCACGTGCATGCGTGTGTGTAGTTAGTTTCAGACACAGACTTTTCCCAGACATAAAGGAAGGAGAATATGTAACTTTATTAGGGGTTGATTTTCTCTCTATCTGCATGAATGGAAATGGTTTGAGCAGAAAAGAGTTTAAGCTGACTTTTGATTTGATTTATTGGGATCCCCATTAGCCGATGCCAATGGCAACAGCTAGTCTTACTGGGGTCCGACATATAACGAAAAATACATTTGTTATGATGAGTTTCTAGGGTATCAAGTACTTAAGAATGTAAGAATAGACTTAGACACTTTTGATGGGGAGTTCATATAAGATATTTAATAGGTACCATGGTTCGTTATAACAGAAGAAGGACATAACCCTGCCTCTGCCATCTCCGAACTCTTGGACAAAGAGATACATCAGCTTATAAACCCTCTGTTACCAGTTTCTTCACATACATCTGGTAAACCTCCATGGGCACTCCCTTTCTTTGATGTTATTACCCTTTACCCCTGTCACTATATCCTGTCCATCAATTATTCTAAGATCAACATCAGTAATCTCCTTTGACATAAGGAATGCAGACTCTGTGGCACCAAACCACTTATCCACTAACTCTCCCCTGGTCCACACAATACTATGACATGACATCATTACAACATTACAGACAAAATACTTTATAATTTACATAAATGTAAAAACATGTAGTGTGCGTGTGTGTGCATCTATCAGCTACAATACATGTCAGTACATACATGCAACAAGTAGGTCACATGGGGGAGAGGCGTTGTGCCGTGAGGTGTTGCTTTAGTTGTGTTTTGAAACCAGGTTTGCTGTTCACTTGCACTTTATGAGATGGAAGGAAGTTCCATGCTCTCATGGCTCTGTATAATACTGTACATTTCCTTGAATTTGTTCTGGACCTGGGGACTGTGAAAAGACCCCTGGTGGCATGTCTGGTGGGGTAAGTGTGTGTGTCAGTGCTGTGTGTAAGTTGACCATGCAAATAATTTGGAATTTCCAACACATTAATGTTTCTTATAAAAACAAGAAGTGATGCAGTCAGTCTTTCCTCAACACTTAGCCAAGAGAGACTGGCATGCATATTATTGATATTAGCCCTCTGATTACAACGAAGAGCAAGACTTGCCGCTCTGTTCTAGACCAGCTGCAGCTAAACTAGGTCTTTATTTGCAGCACTTGACCATATGACTGGACAATAATCAAGATAAGATCAAACTAAATGTGCCTTTAAATTTCATGCAATTCAATATTCATCTTTAAAACAACAACAAAATATGTCAAAAGAGATCATGTTAACAAAGGAAATAGAAGAAATAACAGTACAGATGGATAGCAATAAAAACAGGACAATGGATTTCACATGACTGGGAATACAGATATGCATCTGTTGGCCCCAAAAAAAGAAAGTAGGGTAGTGGATCAGAAAACCAGTCAGTATCTGGTGTGTGACCACCATTTGCCCCATGCAGCACGACATATTTCCTTCACATAGAGTGGATCAGGCTGTTGATTGTGGCCTGTGGAATGTTGCTGGATATTGGCGGGATCTGGAACACTGTCGTACATGTCGATCCAGATCACCCATGTCTGGTGAGTATGTGTTGTGGAAAATAACCACTATACTTTATTACAAATAAGGTCTTACAGAGTTTTTGTTGCATCAAGATATTACTTTATTAAAATTGTAGACCTGCACAAGGCTGGAATGGGCTACAGGACAATAGGCAAGCAGCTTGGTGAGAAGGCAACAACTGTTGGTGCAATTATTAGAAAATGGAAGAAGTTCAAGATGACGGTCAATCACCCTCGGTCTGGGGCTCCATGCAAGATCTCACCTCATGGGGCATCAATGATCATGAGGAAGGTGAGGGCTCAGCCCAGAATTACACAGCAGGACCTGGTCAATGACCTGAAGAGAGCTGGGACCACAGTCTCAAAGAAAACCATTAGTAACAGACTACGCCGTCATGGATTAAAATCCTGCAGCGCATGCAAGGTCCCCCTGCTCAAGCCAGCGCATGTCCAGGCCCGTCTGAAGTTTGCCAATGACCATCTGGATGATCCAGAGGAGGAATGGGAGAAGGTCATGTGATCTAATGAGACAAAAATAGAGCTTTTTGGTCTAAACTCCACTTGCCGTGTTTGGAGGAAGAAGAAGGATGAGTACAACCCCAAGAACACCATCCCAACCCATGGAGGTGGAAACATCATTCTTTGGGGATGCTTTTCTGCAAAGGGGACAGGACGACTGCACCGTATTGAGGGGAGGATGGATGGGGCCATGTATAGCGAGATCTTGGCCAACAACCTCCTTTCCTCAGTAAGAGCATTGAAGATGGGTCGTGGCTGGGTCTTCCAGCATGACAACGACCCGAAACACACAGCCAGGGCAACTAAGGAGTGGCTCCGTAAGAAGCATCTCAAGGTCCTGGAGTGGCCTAGCCAGTCTCCAGACCTGAACCCAATAGAAAATCTTTGGAGGGAGCTGAAAATCCGTTTTGCCCAGCGACAGCCCCGAAACCTGAAGGATCTGGAGAAGGTCTGTATGGAGGAGTGGGCCAAAATGCCTGCTGCAGTGTGTGCAAACCTGGTCAAGACCTACAGGAAACGTATGATCTCTGTAATTGCAAACAAAGGTTTCTGTACCAAATATTAAGTTCTGCTTTTCTGATGTATCCAATACTTATGTCATGCAATAAAATGCAAATTAATTACTTAAAAATCATACAATGTGATTTTCTGGATTTTTGTTTTAGATTCCGTCTCTCACAGTTGAAGTGTACCTATGATAAAAAATTACAGACCTCTACATGCTTTGTAAGTAGGAAAACCTGCAAAATCGGCAGTGTATCAAATACTTGTTCTCCCCACTGTATAGTCCCCTCTTCAGTTTCCCGCTCTTTTATTGCTCCGCCCACTTCCTTTGTCTCTGAGGGCGGCTAAACTCGACTTTTATTATGCACATAGTACTCCAACAAATCACTCACTCCCCTGTCTTGCACACACACTCATGTTTAGTTTAACCATGACATGGCTCTAAATCCTTGACACATACACAAACCCCACACACACAGTGAAATGACCCAATTCAATTCCTGGCCCAGTAACAAAGAAATCTAACTCTATGCTCTTGATTAACCCAGTTCTACCTCATAGTCCATTAAACTCTACAGTTCATTAATAATAATTCACCACATATCCCCCCTCATGGGATTACTAATCCCATAACATTACAAAAGTATATTATGTTTATGCTATCAATCACCATCTTTGCATTCAAAGTTATACTCATAATGTACAATATTAATATTTCTACTTAAACCAATTCCAATATAAGCGTTAGTATCCTAACACATTAAAACTAACATAGCGTTGTTTTAGCCATACTACCTAGGACATGTTTAAGAATAATATCAATATCTTTAACTCACATAACTTCATTCAGATCAATCAGTCAGCTTACAATTCATAATCATAATCAAATTAATTACCCAAAACAAATTTAGAATGACAATTCTTAGTTAGTCACCTTGGTTCCATCATTCAAAGTTAAAACTCTCACCTTGGCACATATTGACACTGGCATACTGTATAGTTATATTATCATAATTCTAGCATTACCTTCCTCATAACGAGAATTACAACAGATCAGTATCTTAATGCATTCCTAGTCTAAATTACTATACATTTAGCAGTGTATAATACCTCCTCAATTCAACATACTACCTCAACTAACACTCCCTTCCTCTACCGGCACTTAATCTTCTGGCGTCCTCATTATGTTCTTCAGATAGCTTCATAGTTCATCTAGGATTGCCCATGGCAATGTTCCAATTCCAATGTCACACCTGAGCCGCCCCACCTCCACCTTCATTTTGTTTTGTCCATTTTGCCAACCAGTATACCCAAACTATGAGAAATGTTGTATTTGCATAGATCTCTCTTCCTGCTCACTCCACATGGACTCCTGTCACATTCTTGAGAGAAAAGGCATAAAAGAGAAGGCAATTGATTGCTTTGATTTGATGCTGGTTCTGATTCAGGTCTCCTGGTAGAGGTGGTGCAGGACAGGAACGTATTCAACGCCTTTGTTGCTCCTCTTCAGCCGGGAAGAGGGTTTTTTGTTTTTATTGAGATTCACACCATTCTGGATCGAATTATCTCTGTTTTGCATTAAGACAACATCCGCAGCAACCTCAAGAAAGGACAAATCATAACAGTTTAGTTGAGTTAATTTCCAATCCAAAACATCCCTATTAACATTGAGTATATGACAAATCATTATATTTCACCACTCATTCTTAATACCAATTTCTAATACATGATCCTGCTGCCTGATAGATTTTTCCTTGAGGGGTCCCTGCATTCCAAAGGCAATCTGTATAAATGCCACATAATTTCACAATCTCCCTTGAATTCTTCCAACTTCTATAACCCAATTGTTTTATTGTACCACTCCTATATAATTTACTCATAGTCTATTTGACATTACTCTGGCGTTTCCCTTTTCCTTGTTCCTATTCTAACAACTAATTGCTTACCCTTCTCTCCCCATCCTGGGTGATTATAAAATTGTTTATATTTAGGGTTTCCTAAATATGACAAAAGTTGTGATTGAATCATAGCACAGTCCTGGTAACTGTGAAGACTTTGAACTACTGTTAATTCTTTAAACGGAGATGTGGTGCATATTAGACTATTTTCCTTCTTTAATTTTATTGTAATACATTGTAATCATCTATACCAATCATTGTTTAACGGCTCCTTCCATTCCCTTTCTTCTGCATTTGGTATAGCTCTAACATATACATGGTTTAGTGCACTTTCCCAAGGAATAACTACTCCAACAACACTTCCCCCTGGAACTCTAACACTAAGTACTACATAAAATTGTTTATCTAAGTCTCGAACTGTTATCCTTATGTCTATGATCCATCTGTCTTTTTCTTTTATTATTTTAAGGTCACCGTTACCCCATGTGATTTCCCCATAATCCTCGTGCTGGTTCATCCCACACCAATAACCAGTTAACCCTTGTATTTTAATAGTGATCCCTTCCTGTATTTTAGTTATGGTTCCTGCCTGTGCAGGAATATACATTTTAATCCTGTCTATATCCATTCTATGTCTTGTTCTTCTGCTTTACTATTATCAGTACCCCATTCCCCTTATTCTCAGTGAACTAGTCAAGTGCAGAGAAATCAATGATGGGGACATCTGGTGAGTCTTGAATGTCTGGAATATCTCGAAGATCTAGAAGGTCTTGAAAGTCTCAAAGGTCTCGAAAGTCTCGAAGATCTGCCCCTCCGCCGAGGGAATCAGCAAGAACACGTAGCTCATCAGTAATTGCCATCCTCCCCCATCTGATTCTCGCCAGCATCCTCAGCTCTCTCATATCTCAGTCATCGGTTCCCTCACTCTGGTACAATGGTTTAGATGATACCAGGTCACGCTCCCCTCTATCCGTACCGCCGTTGGTGTAACCTGGACGACGATGTATGGTCACTTTAGCTGTTAACCTTCTTCCGTCACTAGGGTCTCCGGATCAGCCAGAGTCCCTCTCAAGCTATCGACATCGGTCAGCGAAGAGTGTCCTTCTATCAGCCTACCCATAGGGAAGCTCGGAGTTACTACTGCAAAGACACAAACACAGACAAACCCAAAAGACAACAATGCTACCCAATGGCGGGGCCATCTTCCTCTCCTGGGGTTGGAACACTCCTATAGTGGGAAACATGGATCTAAGTATCTGTCTCTGCCACTTTTACCGTCATTGAGGTAGCCAACAACACCTGGCACGGGCCCCTCCACATAGGGTCTTTCCAGCTCTTTCTTCCGTAGTCTTTTACCATCACATAGTCTCCAGGGCACAGAAAATACTCAGATTCTCCTACTCCGTTGGGCAGAGTTCCCTTCACCCATGGGAAAAAAGTCTTAAGAACATTGTTAGGTTAGGTGAGACACAGTATGCTACTTATGTCCTCTCATCTGTCAGGAGAAGCTTTGAGATTATGCAGCGCACCTGCTTGCAGCTTGTTGCAGTCCACTCATTTCATAGACAGACCCCCTCTACACCCTGCCTCCTATCACAAAAACAAAACATATTTAACCTAACCCATAACACTACTGCTACTACTGCTCATAAAACCATTTAAAAACATTAAAACCATTAAAAAACCCTGTAAACCCCCAAAAACCCAAAAACATTAAAACCGTTAAAACCAACTTCCCCCCTTTGGACACATGCATCACATCGTGATTCATGTGTTCAAAAACCAAAAATAATAACTGAACTTAAAATGACAACCCTTGATGATATCTTAACCCATTTGCATTCCATAACATTATTCAAGGTTATCTCTCCTTCAATACTAGCTCTCTCCTGTTTGGAATGATATATAGGATTAATGCCAAATTATATACTTCCTCACAATTCCTTATTATAACCAACCCCCAATTCAGCATGCCTCTAGTATTTACAGTGCGGGTGATCAAGTCACACTATAAAGCCAGGACAGCTTGCAGAGGTCATTGAAATCATTCAATGAATTGTTCCATCAATAGTATACCACTCATTAACAACCGTCAACACATTTCATAAATGTTGTATCCCAAGTGTACAGTATGTCTTTAGTACAGCTCTTTTCAAAATAAATCACACATATTTACTTATCCCTCAGTAAATAAAACCCAAATTACATGTGTCACCTTTTAGATATTTCACTTCCATCCCTTGAAAAACCTAAAATACAAATAAAAATCCTATACAGCTAACATTTCATACTAAGTGGTTTGTTTGTGGTTATTTGAACACCATATAGTAAAACAATAAACAAACAACAAATGGCCAGGCCTTATTTATAATCTCAGAAAATATTTGAAAGAAAAGAGAAAATCACTCCCCCCTTTTTCCTGGAAGAAAAAGTACACATTTAGTTAGTTTCAATTTTGATACCTCTTAATCAGTCCAAACAATTTAAATTCGAAATTCTCACTCTCTATTCCCACATCTCCTGATCCCCCCTTTCAGACAACCCCCAATAACCTCATTTGTGACTGTTCCCTTCCCCGGTGAATTCCACAATCCAGTGCACATAAAACGAAATAAAATCCCATAAGATTTAAACCCCTAGGCTTTTCCCTAGCCGCACTGCTACCACTCAATCACCCCCAACATGCTTCATGACGTCGAAAACTCAAATATGCTATCTCTTGCCTCGTTGGTTGTACTTTCCCACATGCCCTGTGGCCCCCCTTCTACCAATATAGTTTACTAATGTGATGATGGTTTCGCCCTTTAGTGTCCTCGCCCTTCGACGCCACTAACACTTTACTACAATCCACAACACTCAAATTCAACCCCTTCAGCGATTGTGTAAATGCAGCATGAAACACCATTTGACTATTTGTAACCCTCATTCGCGCTGTCACCCATACATACTGTAAATTTACATTTCACCTTTCAGAATCCATTATCTTTGACCCTCGGAAGCATTCTTTAACCCCACTGAATGTAATACCTTTCCCTGTCACCAATACAGTCAATTCCTCAGTGTAAGGAATCAGTGATATTTGATCCCAAGTATCTATTAAAATGTTGTTTGAGACGTGGGTCTCCTACATCTCCCTCATCATTCATACTGTAGGGGATTTCCATCAATCCCAGAAAAAAGACTCCCAATCAAGACATCATCCTGTTCCATTAAGTAGAATATACACATATAACATAAAACCCATAACCACTTTCCAGTAATCTAATCATTTCAACCTGCTGCATTGATTTTAGTAAAAATATAAATTGTTGTGCAATCAATCCAGAACCTACAAAAAGTTAGTCCTGTCCCCTAGTCCAAAATAAATGCTTCTCCAGCTACCCTGATTTGGTCCTCCCCACAGGTTCACTTGGCCCTGTGGAGCCTGTGTCTGAGACTGCCCCCCTCTAGCTGAGCTGGGCCCATTTTCTTGCCAATTACCCTGTTGTGGTTGCCTAGGCACCCACGGCTTGGTAGTACAATCCCTTCTCATATGTCCTGATTGATTGCACCCCCAGCAGACACCTGGTCTTCTTAGTCCACCATTCTGGTGTGTCTGATGCTGTGGTTGAATTCCATTGATTCTTGGGTCCATTTTCATTATTCTTGTTTTGCCACTGCCCAGGGGATTGTTGTGTGTACACATTCACTACTGGTAAGGCAGGAGCTCTTTGGCCTTGCTGCTGAGGTGGTATCTGTTGACCGCCTTGGAGAACAGGTGTAGCTTGTGTTTTCTTTTTGTCCTTTCTTGTCAGCTCTTCCAGCTGCAACTGTCCCAGTTTTCTCAGAATCTCTCTCCACTGCTTCGCCAATTTCGGTTCATCCCTCCTGTATTTCTCCATTGCGTGGATAATATGGTCGCAGAATTCCTTGCGTGATTCTGACGTTAGTCCCTCTGTCTCACTCTGTCCTTGATCAGAGTCAGCATACTGTCTAAATTCTTCACCTTCCTCCTCATTTGTATTCCCCCCATCTCTTTGCCCATCACACTCTTGTTCATCTATCCCATAATTTTCCAGTTCCGTTACCATACCCCTCAGTCCTCAATAACAGTCTATATCTAAATGTGATTGTTCTCCTCTTCTTGGTGTGGAAACCTGCTGCTTCCTTTTTTCTCCTTCTATCTCTACACTCCCTGTTATTGAGACTAGACCTGTGACCTGAGAATACTGCCACCCTTCTGTGTATGGTGGTGGTGTAGTTAAACCAGGCTTTTTTGGTTCACTCTCCCTCTCCATTATTATCCTTCTAGCTTTGGCTATGCTGTCTCTCCAACTCTTTCCTTCCTCCCAGAACATTTTCAAGATTTCTCTCGCTTTCTCTCTCTTCTTCTTTCTTTTCTCCCCTTTCTCTCCTGTTTTATAGTTCTTTATTAGGGTATCCATTTCCTCGCACACTGTTACATCAAATGTTCCCTCCTTTGGCCATTTAGTTACTATTTTCCTGGTCCTTTTTTCCCATTTGTCAGAGATTATACCAATATTACTATTTTCTGGGAACCTTCTCTTCATGATTGCTACTGGTGTTCCTGCCATCTCTACTCCTTGTGTGGTTCAGTGTCTATATTAGGGTGTAAGGTAAATGAGTCCTGTTGTCTTTCTCAGCTAAACATTTTTATATCCCTCAGTTAATGGTATTTTCTCCCTAATATATCTTCATACTCTTCTTCTTTCCTTAAATGAGATTGTATCCCTTGCCTTTCCTCTACTATCCTTCTATCATTACTGGATCAATGACACTTGTAATAACTGCTTCGCATTAAATTGTGCCTTTTTCTGATAATGTTATAATTGTAGCCTATTGCATTAATTTAGTTTAAAATATACGTTTGTTATTCAACAAATCTAGAACCCACTATAAGTTGGTGCTATTCCATCAGCATAATAGCTAAAGCTACTTGCATCCCCTGGTTCACGTAACGAAAACAAATTATTGTTTTAGAATTCACCAACTATTTGCATACACCACTGGTGTTAAGCAACCTATCGAATAAAGTAATAACAATTAGAATTTGTCAAATAACTGTTTTCCATTCAACTATTTAGACTTCTACTTGAAATCTATCTTACAGCTCGATTCGTACTAGCTGGACTGTCTCTCTTTTACCCGCGAACCAGAGCCATAAATTATTTTCCTTTGTTCTCAATTCAAATCATTGCCACAGCTCCATTGCCATTGCCAGCCTGCTATTCAATTTCTGTAACTGTCCTTTCTGATTACGCTCTAATTAATAAAACAAACACTGGCTATAATTGACCCGCATACACTCAATTCATATCCATGTTCAATTCAATATTCCAAATTCCAACCCTATTCACAGTAGTTTAAGCTTTCAAATCATTCGGCACCGAAAAAAATGACTACCTCGAAAACGTCTCACTATTCATGTTGAATAGGTGAGTCTTTCAATTTGAAATCATCAAGCTGCTAAATCGTCCAGTCTTATAACACAAATTGAACACTGACTGTTCTATCAATCTAAGCAACCCATAACCCAACGCCACCATTGGGCACTCTGTTCACAACGTTGACATCAGCAAACCGCTCGCCGACACGACACCATACACGTGGTGTGCGGTTGTGAGGCTGTACTTCCAAATTCTCTAAAACGACGTTATGGTAGAGAAATGAACATTCAAGTATCTGACAACAGCTCTGGTGGACATTCCTGCAGTAAGCATGCCAATTGCACACTCCCTCAAAACTTGAGACATCTGTGGCATTGTGTTATGTGACAGAACTGCCCATTATTGTCCCCAGCACAAGGTGCACCTGTGTAATGATCATGCTGTTTAATCAGCTTCCTGATATGCCACCCCTGTCAGGTGGATGGATTATCTTGGCAAAGGAGAAATGCTCACCAACAGGGATGTAAACGTTTTAGAGAAATACGCTTTTTGTGCGTATGGAACATTTCTGGGATATTTTATTTCAACTCATGAAACATGGGACCAACACTTTACATGTTGCGCTTATATATTTTTTCCAGTATATATATTTTGACCATGACAGTTTACAGTTGACAATTTAGTCTCCTGAACTTGTTCAGCAGCCACACCATTCATTACCAGATTCAGCTGAGATCTAGAACTTTGGGAATGATTTGTACCAAATACAATGCCCTTAGCTTTAGAGATGTTCAGGACCAGTTTATTACTGGCCACCCATTCCAAAACTGACTACAACTCTTTGTTAAGTGTTTCAGTGACTTCATTAGCTGTTGCTGATGCGTTTATGGTTGAATCATCAGCATACATGGACACACATACTTTGTTTAATGCTAGTGGCAGGTCATTGGTAAAAACTGAATCTTGTTAGTTAGGCTTGAAGCTTCTGTCCATCTTTTCAAGATAAATTAATTATTACACATTGAAGGGATACAGATGTGTTGACTGTATTTTTGGGAATTGGGGGAAACAGTGAATAGAAATGTGAGATGAAGGCAGTTGTCTCTTCTGCTCTTGATGGAGAATCAGGCTACTCCATTGTCTATCCTATCTATACACATGAGTGAAAGAGGAGATTTCTTCCCATTTAGAACACTTTCTTTCAGTCGCAACCACTAAGTAAATATGTAATTCTCACAATCACGATAGGTTCACTGCTACATTTTCATGCATGTGTCTCTATAGTACATTTACATTTTAGTCATTTAGCAGACGCTCATATCCAGAGCGACTTACAGTTAGTAAGAGCATACATAATTGTTTTATTTTTCATACTGCCCCCTCCGTGGGAATCGAACCCACAACCCTGGCGTTGCAAACGCCATGCCCTACCAACTGAGCTACATCCCTGCCGGCCATTCCCTCCCCTACCCTACCCTGGGCCAATTGTGCGCCGCCCCATGGGTCTCCCGGTCGTGGCTGGCCACGACAGAGCCTGGATTCGAACCAGGATCTCTAGTGGCACAGCTACTGCGCCACTCGGGAGTATAGTATTATCTATAGCTATGATAATAGCTCTCTGTTTACCACAGAGGAATGCTGGATGATCCTACTGTCATTTCTGATATCTCCTTATAATCATATCCTCCAGACATTTAATCACTATGGAGGAAACTGGAAGTTCAATAAAAACTTTATTTATTATTGAATACCTAGCCTTCAACAGGGTGCTTCCGCTTCAAACTGAACAGTTTCTCATACTTACTCGTAAAGACAAACATATATCACATCTTGCACAGAATTTTGTTGTCAACCAAACTGATCGGTATGATGGTTTTCAGACAGCATGATGATTTGAACAGACACTGGCTTCCTAAAAAACTGTATACGGTCATCACAGCTCTAGGACAGTGATAGACGTTGAGACTTGTGTGAGGGTTCTGTGGAAGTCTCTCTCCACAGTGATATTACAAGGCCTGTCATTTCACAGTGTCGTGTTGGTAGAGAAACCTCCAAGAGATGGTGATGGACAGTCTCTCTCTCTCTCTCTCTCTCTCTCTCTCTCTCTCTCTCGCTCGCTCTCTATCTCTCTCTCTCTCTCTCTCTCTCACTCACTCACTCACTGATTTGTGCCTTCATTTGTAAAAGATTTTGAAGAGAGCCTACCAGTTAATGATATTGGCACACACAGCATAGTCATGTCGGTGGTGTATAGGAACATGTTAACAGACACCCTCAAGATTCTGAGCCTGCCTGGCAGGGTTGGTCCTACAGAGCCAAAGCCCTCTGATGGGTATTAGCCAAATATATTTAAACTCAGTTTTTCACAATTCCTGACATTTAATCCTGGTAAAAATTCCCTGTCTTAGGTCAGTTAGGATCACCACTTTATTTTAAGAATGTGAAATGTCAGAATAATAGTAGAGAGAATGATTTATTTCAGCTTTTATTTATTTCATCACATTCCCAGTGGGTCAGAAGTTTACATACACTCAATTAGCATTTGGTAGCATTGCCTTTAAATTGTTTAACTTGGGTCAAATGTTTCAGGTAGCCTTCCACAAGCTTCCACCAATAAGTTGGGTGAATTTTGGCCCATTCCTCCTGACAGAGCTGGTGTAACTGAGTCAGGTTTGTAAGCCTCCTTGCTCGCACACGCTTTTTCAGTTCTGCCCACATATTTTCTATAGGATTGAGGTCAGGGCCTTGTGATGGCCACTCCAATACCTTGACTTTGTTGTCCTTAAGCCATTTTGCCACAACTTTGGAAGTATGACTGGGGTCATTGTCCATTTGGAAGACCGATTTGCGACCAAGCTTTAACTTCCTGACTGATGTCTTGAGATGTTGCTTCAATATATCCACATAATTTTCCTTCCTCATGATGCCATCTATTTTGTGAAGTGCACCAGTCCCTCCTGCAGCAAAGCACCCCCGCGCTTCACAGTTGGGATGGTGTTCTTCGGCTAGCAAGCAACCCCCTTTTTCCTCCAAACATAACGATGGTCATTATGGCCAAACAGTTCTATTTTTGTTTCATCAGACCAGAGGACATTTCTCCAAAAAGTATGATCTTTGTCCCCATGTGCAGTTGCAAACCGTAGTCTGGCTTTTTTATGGCGGTTTTGGAGCAGTGGCTTCTTCCTTGCTGAGCGGCCTTTCAGGTTATGTCGATATAGGACTCGTTTTACTGTGGATATAGATACTTTTGTACCTGTTTCCTCCAGCATCTTCACAAGGTCCTTTGCTGTTGTTCTGGGATTGATTTGCAGGTTCATCTCTAGGAGACAGAACGCGTCTCCTTCCTGAGCGGTATAACGGCTGCGTGGTCGCATGGTGTTTATACTTGCGTACTATTGTTTGTACAGATGAACGTGGTACCTTCAGGCATTTGGAAATTGCTCCCAAGGATGAACCAGACTTGTGGAGGTGTACAATATTTTTTCTGAGGTCTTGGCTAGTTTCTTTTGATTTTCCCATGATGTCAAGCAAAGAGGCACTGAGTGTAAAGGTTGGCCTTGAAATACATCCACAGGTACACCTCCAATTGACTCAAATGATGTCAATTAGCCTATCAGAAGCTTCTAAAGCCATGACATCATTTTCTGGAATTTTCCAAGCTGTTTAATGGCACGGTGAACTTAGTGTATGTAAACTTCTGACCCACTGGAATTGTGATACAGTGAATTATAAGTGAAATAATCAGTCTGTAAACAATTGTTGGAAAAATTACTTGTGTAATGCAGAAAGTAGATGTCCTAACCGACTTGCCAAAACTATAGTTTGTTAACAAGAAATGTGTGGAGTGGTTGAAAAACGAGTTTTAATGACTCCGACCTAAGTGTATGTAAACTTCCGACTTCAACTGTAGATACAGTATGTTACATCTTCTGCAACAGATTCTGACCTTAATGTCACTGTAACTTCAATAGACACACACAGTACATATATGATGCTTCATAAACATTGCCACTATGTGGTCCTCTGTAGATCAGCTGGTAGAGCACAGTGCTTGTAACGCCAAGGTAGTGGGTTCGATCCCCGGGACCACCCATACACAAAAAATGTATGCACGCATGACTGTAAATCGCTTTGGATAAAATCGTCTGCTAAATGGCATATTATTATTATTATTATGTCTAGACAATGTGTGAATAGGAGTTGTTATAGCCTACAGCAAATATACAGACAGGTGTTCTTGAAAGGTATTTCGGCAGAGACATGAATCTAATGTTGTTAAGTGACTGTTGTGTTGTGTTGCAAAGCGTTCTAAAAGCGGGAGAGAGTGTGTGTGTGTTTATTACTGGTGTGTGAGACATTACAAATGTTAGTGTGAACTGTAGCCTTAGCCTCCCCCACACTGGGAACCGATGACGACGTCAGGAATATCTCACTTTTTTCCACAGGCGCTCTCCATCTGTTATGCAATTGTGTTTAAAAGTAATGTTACAGTCCTATTTGACGGTTTTAAGGTGGAAACCAAAGGGGTTGGAAAAAGGGCAAATGTTTGATCCAGCCCTCTCATCAAAGGATGTTCCAAACCTCTCTAACTTTGCTGACAGCACTGTTTTCTCAGCTGTTATCATATTAAACTTGTCAATGTCAACATTTGAGTTATTCTTGTAATGAATTGTAAGTAAGAGTAAAACAAGATGAAACCAGGTTATTGAGGTTATGACCAAACAGTCATATCGCCCTCTTCTGGCAGACAGTAGTAGTGACACCATTTGGAGACAATTTCCCAGCAAAAATGTCCACACTGGCACAATGTGGGCCCAATGCAGGCTAAAATATTGGCCCCACAGTTCTATTTAATATGAATTAATTTAATTATAATGTATTTATTACAATTTAATTCAATACATAAATTGCATAATTTTCAAGCCTTGAAGGTATTTAAGGAAAGTGATATATTGTATAAAAAATACTCAGTAAACGTTGCACAAAAATAACGGTATGCAAACCACGCCCCCAAATATTCTAATGTGCCCCCGCCTCTCTCTGGGCTTGGTGTGGGCTGGCCCATGTTGGGATGGTGTAGGCCAGAGTTTCCAACTCTCTACTTGCCCGCTGTATATACAGTGGAGAAAAAAAGTATTTAGTCAGCCACCAATTGTGCAAGTTCTCCCACTTAAAAAGATGAGAGAGGCCTGTAATTTTCATCATAGGTACACATCAACTATGACAGACAAAATGAGAAACAAAAATCCAGAAAATCACATTGTAGGATTTTTAATGAATTTATTTGCAAATTATGGTGGAAAATAAGTATTTGGTCAATAACAAAAGTTTCTCAATACTTTGTTATATACCCTTTGTTGGCAATGACACAGGTCAAACGTTTTCTGTATGTCTTCACAAGGTTTTCACACACTGTTGCTGGTATTTTGGCCCATTCCTCCATGCAGATCTCCTCTAGAGCAGTGATGTTTTGGGGCTGTCGCTGGGCAACACGGACTTTCAACTCCCTCCAAAGATTTTCTATGGGGTTGAGATCTGGAGACTGGCTAGGCCACTCCAGGACCTTGAAATGCTTCTTACGAAGCCACTCCTTCATTGCCCGGGCGGTGTGTTTGGGATCATTGTCATGCTGAAAGACCCAGCCACGTTTCATCTTCAATGCCCTTGCTGATGGAAGGAGGTTTTCACTCAAAATCTCACGATACATGGCCCCATTCATTCTTTCCTTTACACGGATCAGTCGTCCTGGTCCCTTTGCAGAAAAACAGACCCAAAGCATGATGTTTCCACCCCCATGCTTCACAGTAGGTATGGTGTTATTTGGATGCAACTCAGCATTCTTTGTCCTCCAAACACGACGAGTTGAGTTTTTACCAAAAAGTTCTATTTTGATTTCATCTGACCATATGACATTCTCCCAATCCTCTTCTGGATCATCCAAATGCACTCTAGCAAACTTCAGACGGGCCTGGACATGTACTGGCTTAAGCAGGGGGACATGTCTGGCACTGCAGGATTTGAGTCCCTGGCGGCGTAGTGTGTTACTGATGGTAGGCTTTGTTACTTTGGTCCCAGCTCTCTGCAGGTCATTCACTAGGTCCCCCCGTGTGGTTCTGGGATTTTTGCTCACCGTTCTTGTGATCATTTTGACCCCACGGGGTGACATCTTGCGTGGAGCCCCAGATCGAGGGAGATTATCAGTGGTCTTGTATGTCTTCCATTTCCTAATAATTGCTCCCACAGTTGATTTCTTCAAACCAAGCTGCTTACCTATTGCAGATTCAGTCTTCCCAGCCTGGTGCAGGTCTACAATTTTGTTTCTGGTGTCCTTTGACAGCTCTTTGGTCTTGGCCATAGTGGAGTTTGGAGTGTGACTGTTTGAGGTTGTGGACAGGTGTCTTTTATACTGATAACAAGTTCAAACAGGTGCCATTAATACAGGTAACGAGTGGAGGACAGAGGAGCCTCTTAAAGAAGAAGTTACAGGTCTGTAAGAGCCAGAAATCTTGCTTGTTTGTAGGTGACCAAATACTTATTTTCCACCATAATTTGCAAATAAATTCATTAAAAATCCTACAATATGATTTTCTGGAATTATTTTCTCTCAATTTGTCTGTCATAGTTGACGTGTACCTATGATGAAAATTACAGGCCTCTCTCATCTTTTTAAGTGGGAGAACTTGCACAATTGGTGGCTGACTAAATACTTTTTTCCCCCACTGTATTTGTCACATTTGACTGTCTAAAACCAAGCATTGCTGCTGCCAGAAAACTGTCATTACTGCACCGCTATCACACATTTTCCAACTCTAGCGACATAGACCTTTAATAAAATCACTATGAGACATCGTCACCCCAAGTGAGCCCGAAGGCCCAAATTTGGGGGTCTGACCCATGGACTATTTAGCAGTCGCTCTTATCCAGAGCGACTTACAGTTAGTGCATTCATCTTAACATAGCTAGGTGAGACAACCAAATATCACAGTCAAATATAGAGGATACGAACATTCCATTCCAGCTAAACAATGGATATACAGCATTTAGCAAAACCAATTTTAATAGACATCTAAAATATTTGAATAAAATATCTGAGAACAGTAAGATTTTAGACACACATGAAGGTACCCATAAGCAATTATTTCTCCAGAAAAGAAAAGAGAAATGTAAAAAATTGATGGATATAGTGTTTTGGAACTAAACTCTTCAAATACTGAATGAATGTTAGCAGTTAGTGGAAGTAGTGAAATACTGACATCAGGTCCTTGCAGTTCCAGTCAGAATTAAGACTTCAGTTCAAGCCAGTGAAATATGTGTTTTTCCCAATTAAAAGTGTATTGAATAGGAAAAGAAACGATATGTCTGGAAACCCATCACTGCCTTGCACATTCTAATTCATCACATTCTTTGCTGCTCGTGATGACCATGATGGTATGTTATGTGCTGTAGACCTATGTATCAATGTAATGCAAGTGACAGCTCTTCACCTGAAACACTACAGTCCTACAGTTACAGCCTACCTGACTGTATGTCTGTCAAAGTCTGCAGACTGGAAGTGGTCAGCCTCCACCATAGACTTGGGAATCTTCTTGGGCTCATACTCTTTCTTCAGGAGATACTGAGACATATAGGTTTCTGTGCTGGTGCTCCAGTCCTGGAGGTTAAATAGAATATAATATAATGAGTTTATTTTTCCCACAGGGAATTTGGGTAAGGACAGAAGTAGATTATGTTACTGCAGTCATGTCATTTGAGATGACTGGGGTAATGAATAAACTCTAAACTCTTATGGCTTCATATTAGCTGACATTATTCTACATTATTCTACAACAAGTATATACAGTTGAAGTCGGACGTATACATACACCTTAGCCAAATAGATTTAAAATCAGTTTTTCACAATTCCTGACATTTAATCCTAGTAAAAATTCCCTGTCTTAGGTCAGTTAGGATCACCACTTTATTTTAAGAATGTGAAATGTCAGAATAAAAGTAGAGAGAATCTTTTATTTCAGCTTTAATTTCTTTCATCACATTCCCAGTGGGTCAGAAGTTTACATACACCCAATTAGTATTTGGTAGCATTGCCTTTAAATTGTTTAACTTGGGTCAAACGTTTCGCGTAGCCTTCCACAAGCTTCCCACAATAAGTTGGGTGAATTTTGGCCCATTCCTCCTGACAGAGCTGGTGTAACTGAGTCCGGTTTGTAGGCCTCCTTGCTCGCACACGCTTTTTCAGTTCTGCCCACAAATGTTCTATAGGATTGAGGTTTACATTATATTTACATGTTTACATTGAGGTCAGGGCTTTGTGATGGCCACTCCAATACTTTGACTTTGTTGTCCTTAAGCAATTTTGCCACAACTTTGGAAGTATGCTTGGGGTCATTGTCCATTTGGAAGACCATTTGCGACCAAGCTTTAACTTCCTGACCGATGTCTTGAGATGTTGCTTCAATATATCCACATAATTTTCCTTCCTCGTGATGCCATCTATTGTGTGAAGTGCACCAGTAGCTCCTGCAGCAAAGCACCCCCACAGCATGATGCAGCCACCCCTGTGCTTCACGGTTGGGATGGTGTTCTTCTGTTTGCAAGTACCCCCTTTTTCCTCCAAACATAACGATGGTCATTATGGCCAAACAGTTCTATTTTTGTTTCATCAGATCAGAGGACATTTCTCCAAAAAGTACGATCTTTGTCCCCATGTGCAGTTGCAAACCGTAGTCTGGCTTTTTTATGGCGGTTTTTGAGCAGTGGCTTCTTCCTTGCTGAGTGGCCTTACAGGTTATGTTGATATAGGACTCGTTTTACTGTGGATATAGATAATTTTGTACCTGTTTCCTCTAGTATCTTCACAAGGTCCTTTGCTGTTGTTCTGGGATTGATTTGCTATTTTCGCACCAAAGTGCGTTCATCTCTAAGAGATAGAACGCGTCTCCTTCCTGAGCGGTAAGACGGCTGCGTGGACCCATGGTGTTTATACTTGCATACTATTGTTTTACAGATGAACGTGGGACCTTCAAGCGTTTGGAAATTGCTCCCAAGGATGAACCAGACTTGTTGAGGTCTACAATTTTTTTTCTGAGGTCTTGGCTGATTTCTTTTGATTTTCCCATGATGTCAAGCAAAGAGGCACTGAGTTTGAAGGTAGGCCTTGAAATACATCCACAGGTACACCTCCAATTGACTAAAATGATGTCAGTTAGCCTATCAGAAGATTCTAAAGCCATGACATAATTTTCTGGAATTTTCCAAGCTGTTTAAAGGCACAGTCAACTTAGTGTATGTAAACTTCTGACCCACTGGAATTGTGATACAGTGAATTATAAGTGAAATAATCTGTCTGTAAACAATTGTTGGAAAAATTACTTGTGTCATGCACAAAGTAGATGTCCTAACCCACCTGCCTAAACTATAGTTTGTTAACAAGAAATGTGTGGAGTGGTTGAAAAACGAGTTTTAATGACTCCAACCCAAGTGTATGTAAACTTCCGACTTCAACATTATATATTTTTAAAGGCCTATTGATAGAATTTACATGAACTACCCAGACCAAAGGCAAAAAGTATTTATAACAAGTTGATGTCAATTCAGTAGTATGTCTTGTGTTATTGTTTGATAAAGAAGAGGTAAGGCTATTGCTCACAGCATCCATGTTGGTCCCAAAGTGTTTGTAGGTAGATTTGCTGAGTTTCTTCTCTCCCTCTGGACACACAGTGTAGTCATAGTCTGAGCTCTGCCTCTGTTTTTATGCCTAGATGGAAATAATAGGTACAGAATTCATGTGATCTGCAGATGGGGGAGGGGCTGATTTTCAGCACCCTCAGCACCCCTACTTCCCGCTGCTATGGTGAGGAGGTTGAACCATTATTCACCAATAAAACTTCCACTGAACTGAAGCATTTTGCACTCAGGATTCTCTCCTAAGTGAAGAGCCTCCAAATTCCATTCCATTAACTGTGACGTCATATAATTCACTTGGACTGTCAAAACAAAGAGTTGAATGTGAGTAACATATTGTGTTTTCGTAAACTCAGGCACACTCAGACGAGAGTGATCTGAAATCGGAGTAGATAGCCAGAGTGAATTTACGAATGCACCCATAGAATGCATAATCCTTGTCGCTCGAGGTGTAGGAAATGAATGAATTGATAGCTGAGTAATGTGGACTATGGAAATATGCCACGTTCAAAACAACTGGAAACTCGGAGTCGGAAATTCGGGCTTCTTTCTAGAGCTCCGACTTTCCGAACTAAAGATCACTGATGTCATAATTTGACCTCGTTTTTCCCAGTTGTCATGAGAGCACCGATATTGGGGTTTTTCACTAGTTACCACAGCCACAAAGTCAGAATGGTCTATCTTGTTGCTTTCTTTGGTCTTAATTTCAAGTTAGGGTTAGGCGTAAGGTTAGCAGTGTGGTTAAGGTTAAGGTTAGGTTTAAAATCAGATTTTAAGAAGATACATTGTAGAAATGGGCGGGGTTTATGTATTTGTGGCTGTGGTAACTAGTGACGTTGTAAGAAATGTTGCTACAATGTTACCATGGTGAAACCTGTTTTACACATGTGCAGCAAATATTTTTTATAACTAAACCATTATTCTATCTGTATGTGCACTTTTCCTAGTGTGTTCATTTTTAATGACCCGGATGAATTTGAGAGAATTCGTTGACGTCATCAGTGCACAAAAATGGCAGAGTCGGAGGAGGAGGAGATGGATGTCTTGGTCCAGAGAGTTGTAAAAGATATCAATAATGCCTTCAAGAGAAATCCCCACATGTACGTAGCTATATCCAATTTATTGTAAATAACGAGTACGATTAGCTAGCTACAAGATAACAGCAAACTAATCATGGCATGGTGTTCTAACGAGATAGCTAACGTTCGTTTGCTTGCTAACGCAGCTAATGATAGCTATCTAACCATCACAGCTTGTTGTTCAGCTAGCTAGCTAACATTCAGGATAAAAAGCTAGCCAGAGCCCGGAGGATAGCATATGCTTGCTAAAATAGCTAGCTATTTACCTAGCTTGTATATTTGCATACATTTAGCCACACGTTGCAGAGGATATATATTTGACTGTGCAGTGGAATTTGTTTGCCACTTAGTAGCTAGCTAACTACGTTAGCTAACTACAGTAGCCAAGAAGGCTAGCTACTTGATTTGCAGAAAAAGTAAACACAGCCTTGTTATTCCCAGTTCTGGAATGGCATGCATAAATCACGTGATCAGAAAGTGCTTGTTTTGACCACATATTAAAGTATATAGCCAGCCAAATACTGTTGGAACAGTCCTTGGCTCGCGACTCTTCTCTCGCATGCAATGTCATAGACTGTTATGTGGAAGTGACATTTCCAGATTCCTTCCTCTTCATGCCAGTAAGTACAGAAATGAGGTCTGTCACTTTTATATCCAGATCTTGTCACTACTATACTGAACAAAAATATAAACGCAACAATTTCAAAGATTTTACTAAGTTACAGTTCATAGAAGGAAATCAGTCAATTGAAATAAATTCAATCAGCCCTAATCTATGGATTGCACATGACTGGGCAGCCAGGCCCAGCCAATCAGAAATCGTTTTTCCCCACAAAAGAGCTTTATTACAGATATAAATACTCCTCAGCTTTTTGTGCATATGGAACATTTCTGGGATCTTTTATTTCAGCTCGTGAAACATGTGACCAACACTTTACATGTTGTATTTATATTTTTGTTGAGTATAGTTGTCATCCTTCACCCCAGATTTTACTGCTGAGTTTGGCTCTCTGATTCATATATGTTTTATTTATAATCTTATCTCAAAAACCTGTCAGGTTTCACACCTGCTGTTTTGATTCCATGGAGATCTGCTCTGGTAATGACATAATCAGATTAATGGGTTAATATCAGTCAACTCATTCTGAGATAGCTACTGTCTTTGTAGCTACGCTTTCCAAGTTGCTAGCTAATCATATCTAATAATGATCATGTTATTACTTGGTCTAATAACATGGTAAATAATGCCTTGTTGGGCTTAGAAGAGTGTCAGCTCGCTAGATGTATTCTGTTTAGAAGCTTATCTGCCTGAGTGTTCTAAATTAGAACTGGCCTACATTCTGTAGCTCATTTAAGAACAGGGTGTGAATGCTTCAACTTTGATGCTGAGCATCTCCTTGTTTTGGCAGCAAGCTCATAACCACCATGCGCTTTTGAGAGATATCAAAAGAGGCTATGCAGTACAAGGCACAACGGAATGTAAAAGATAAATTTGATGCACAGTTCAGTTCCACTTAATCAGAAATAGAACATACGCAGGTATAATAACCTCTTTGAACTGAGTACATTTCTACTTTATAAGGTAAAGGCATTTTTACGGGGCAAGAAAATCCTTCAATGAAAACAACATCTAAGCCTGATTTGTAGTGTTTGAATAGGTGCATAGGCTCGATCCGTCTTGTGTTGTGAGTGACCTGTGCTGAGCGCTATACTGAGCTGTGCTGTGTGCACACACCAGGGTTCCAGACTAACATTTCCCCCTAGTGGCACTGATACGTTTTTCAGTTGGTGGCACCAGCCAATGATTTGGTCGCATCCATAAAAAAATAAAGTAAAACAAACATGCCTCTCTGACATGTAGAATAAGGAATCACTCCAGTTCTATTTGTGACATTTCTACCTGAAATGTTCCAATCCATTTTGCTTACTGAACATGGCCCTGCTGCAAAGGGGTTGTGTGTGTGTGCGTGAACCGCAGTTTGAGGCAAACCAGTTCTGCTGTGTGCTCAGTGAGGCGTAGACTCTCTGGAGATGCATTTGTGCAAACTAGGCTGCTCTCTACAAGGCTTGTGCCCCGTCCTCCAGACCAGTGTTGTGTTGGGCATCTAAAGTGTGCTTCTGCTCCTTCAACTAGAGACACATTTAGGCGAAATACAAGGGTACCTACTCCCTAAACCAGGCAGTGAATAAAACCCACCATCAGACAGGGGTGGAGGTTATTGCTGGGTTCTTACTGAGGTTAAAAGGTTATTACTGTATGTGTGAGTGTGAGCATGCATGTAAGAGAGCATGGGTATCTGAGATCATGTGTGTGTCTGTGTGTTTGTGTTGTTGTTGTGTTAGAGCAATGAGCATGCAGGTTTTCACACACTCTCTTTCCCCCTCCCCCTTCCTAGTGATGAGATAGGTCTGATCCTGTGTCCTGAGGCCAGGTATAACCGCAGCCCCATTGTGCTGGTAGAGAACAAGTTGGGAGTGGAGAGCTGGTGTGTCAAGTTCCTGCTACCCTACGTCCACAACAAACTACTGCTCTACAGGCAGCGCAAACAGTGGCTGGACAGGGAAGGTAAGAAGAAGAATGATGTATTCTTTATCCAGTTTCCTTACAGTCCACTGAGACACACACACATACAGTACCAGTCAAAAGTTTGGACACACCTACTCATTCAAGGGTTTTTCTTTATTTTTACTATTTTCTACATTGTAGAATAATAGGGAAGACATCAAAACTATTCAATAACACATATGGAATCATGTAGTAACCAAAAAAGTGTTAAACAAATCAAAATATAGTTTATATTTGAGATTCTTCAAAGTAGCCACCCTTTGCCTTGATGACAGCTTTGCACACGCTTGGCATTCTCTCAACCAGCTTCACAAGGAATGCTTTTCCAACAGTCTTGAAGGGGTTCCCACATATGATAGACTTGAAAAATATAAAATGCATACAACAGTGGTTCCATACTAAAATGTTTAAACAGAAAGACAAGACTGATTAAACAGATCACAACATTTGGCTTAAAAGTTGATAAACTATGAATAATTCACATTACAAGCGCAGCAATGTGTTCAGTTGTCTCGGCCATATGCGTGAATGTTCCAAAATGCAATTACGGGAGAACACCATTCTCAAACACGCACCTGATGCGAGCGGTTTTTATGATGTGACAGAGATGGATATACAGCCTAATGGTAGAAACTTAGAAAGAGGGAATATCTGAAGATGCAACAATATGATTGTGCCTTACTGCCTTTGGACAGTAGAAGAAGAAATGCTGGTTTCAATGGCATATCAGGAAATCTTCGCTTTTTTTCTATGGTGGGATTTTGGCTGTAGGCTATTAAAAGCAAGGTGAGATAGGCTATGTAAAACGTCCAGGTTTCAAACAATGATATGGCTGGCTTGGCATCGCATATGTAATTATTTAGGTTATGGAAATCTATAATATTAGAATATCATTCCAATGTTGGGCAAATAGGCCTATTAGAATGCACACTTTACTCTCTTCCAGCCTGTCTGCGGGCCCGTCGGCCTGGAGCCGAGATTTAGAGTGCTGGGAGTTGCTGAGGCATTTGCATTGTCTGTAGGCTATGGCTAGATACTATGGTATTCTAGAGAATATGGTTGGATCTCCCTGACCTGAACTGAATGCACACTGTAAAATGTGCAAAGAATTTCTGCCTCGTGCTGTAACACTGCCTGGCTTGGGGCTGTGCGTGCGCACGTGAAGAGCTGAGTGCGCACAGGCATAGAAATGTGTTTAATTTTCTTGAAACTGAAGTGAGACTTTGTCCTTGGCTATTTGAATTGTTTTGTTCACAAGCTAGGTTGTTTTTCAATGTTTGAGTTTCAACTGCTAGGGAAGAGAAGCAACGCGGATACTTGTCAGACTCTCAATCTCACAGGCACAAACATGACTCGAGTTGTACTACCATGGTAACCTCCCGCCCGTAAAGGGGTAGGTGACATTTTTTGTCTCATCTGTGATATTTTGGTTAAACTACTTTATACCACATTACTTCTTACTAGTAATACATTTGTTGTTTTAGAAACATTTCAAAGCATGCTCATCCGTATTTCTGTGTTTTGTTGGTGTAATTCTAGCGAAGAAAAATATTTTAGCTGGTAAAAAATCTGAGTGGCTGGTGTCCCAAAACTAACATTTCAGGCAATGGGCGTTAGCAAGTGGTGGTACTCAAAAAGGTCAAGGCGACCATTCTTCAGTGACTGAAGAGGGAGGGGTGAAGCAAAGAAAGTGAACGCTGGGTAACACACACACACACCTGTTCTTTATTGTAAATCCCGAGTGGCGCAGTGGTCGTAGCCGGCCGCGACCGGGAGACCCATGGGGCGGCGCACAATTGGCCCAGTGTTGTCCAGGGTAGGGGAGGGAATGGCCGGCAGGGATGTAGCTCAGTTGGTAGAGCATGGCGTTTGCAACGCCAGGGTTGTGGGTTCGATTCCCACGGGGGGCCAGTATGATTTTATAAAATAAAATAAAAACATAAATAAAATGTATGCACTCACTAACTGTAAGTCGCTCTGGATAAGAGCGTCTGCTAAATGACTAAAATGTAAATGTATATTGTTGTGTTATGTTGTTTAATGGGGCAGCTGGTGGTGGAATGTAATGTGACCAACCACCTCGATTCGGTCTTATGTAGCAACATTTGAATTTTTTATTTATTTTTACATTGGATAAAAGTAGATACTCAGAGCTACAAAATTGTATATTATACACTGTAGTTGAGGAACAATGGGAAAGTAATTCTGCTTTGAAAGTTGATAAAGTTGATAAACATGTAACCCCACTTTTGAGAAAATGGCACTTGAATGTTTTGGTAAACCTACTGGAGCGCTCTTCTTTGTCCACACCCATTCAGCATCGTTCACACCCTCTTAAGCCTTAGCCCCACCCATCTCTTTAAGGATTCACATGTGAGGCCATGTGGTAGACACACGCTATATCAAATAAAATCTAAGTTTATTTGTCACATTCACAGGATACAGAAGGTGTAAATGGTACAGTGAAGTGGTTACTTGCATAGTAGCAATATCAAAAACAGAAAGTGTCCAGGTACAAATATTTTATAATTATTTTATCATTATTAGATTATGCTTACCACCCCCCAGGCACATCTAGGTAAGTGGATGGGTCACTATTGTCTAGACATGTACACATGTTCAAGAAATACAATAGATGGCCATAATCACCCCCAGACACACCTGGCTAATTTGATGGGTCATGTAATAATCCGGCCGAAGTGGAGTCTTTTGTTTAGACATGTATTTAGCTAGGTAGCTAGCTAAACAATTGTCATAGCTGTAGTATGAATCTGCAGGTAGCTAAAGCTAACAAACTAGTTTCAATGTTAGCTAGCTAACATTAGGCTATAACTAGCAATGCAAATAGATTTCTGATTGAATAATATTACTACACAGATCATACACATAACGTTAGCTAGCGAGCCAGCAAGCTAACGTTTGCTAGCTAACTAATAGTACGCTTTACCTTGCAATAAAAACGACTTTCTGACAAAATTAGAAAGTAGCTAGACTCTTGTGGATGAACGCTTCACGGCAGACTGTAGCTACATCTTGTTTGGCCAGCGTTGTGTCGAGTCACTCTGGTTCACACTGACCGTGGCGTGTGCAGAAAGTAGCCCATCACTTTTTCCAACTGATCTGTCGATAGTGCCTGCTATATTCAGGGCCTCAATGTTGTTGAGAAAAGTAGCAAAACTTTTGTAGTTCACGATGGCTAACGTTATATCTTTCATGGGCGGCAGGTAGCTTAGTGGTTAAGAGCGTTGTGCCAGTAACCAAAAGGTCGCTGGTTCTAATCCCCGAGCCGACTAGGTGAAAAATCTGTCGATGTGCCCTTGAGCAAGGCACTTAACCCTAATTGCTCCTGTAAGTCACTCTGGATAAGAGCGTCTGCTAAATGACCAATTATTATTATTATTATAAAAACAGTGCGGTGGAAAGGACTGTCAACACATACTGAACAGCTCACGTTATAGACAGAAGCTGCTACATGGCAGACCAATCCAAATTCATCTCACGGCATGTCCAGCCCATCCATTATCTCAGCCAATCATGGATAGCGGGAAGGTTCCTGTCTTTTTCCGTGGCTAAACGAACTAGGTTCGTAATTTAACAATTTTATTCGTATTTATGGATGGAATACAAGTTTGTTATTAAGGTACATGAAAGTTCACATGTTCCAGAAGGCCTTTCTGAATAAAAACGTATTTTGATAAAAAATTAATGTTTACATTCAAATGCCTCTCCTGTAAAGTAGTGATGTGCGACATATGCCTAGTTTCTTGGAACGAGTCACTAATATCTCAGACTTAAGTTTATTCAGTAACTAGTTCACAATAACGTTGGTCCCTCTTAGATATATTGTATACATGTGGTTAGCATGTTCAATTAATAAATTATTATTATAAATAATGTAATGGATGTTTGTCTGTTTTCATTAAGATGCAAAAAGTAGTTTTTTAACAAATTAAGTTGATGTAATGAAGACTGTCTGTATTCATCTCATAAATACACCAATTACTTTAAAAGCACTGCAAATGACCTAGAACCATGTTGGCATATCAAAACATCAAAATATATATATTTACATTTTGGGACGGTTGAAGTTCAGTTTGGGACAGTTGAAATTGCACTTTGGCACAGTGAGAAAAAAAGGTAGTCGCAAGCCCTGATGTATACCTCGAGTGGATGGAAGCACACTAGTCAGCCACGGTGCAGCGGCACCCCGTGGAACAGTTAGGAGCTAAGTGCCTTACTCAAGGGCAGAGCGGCAGGAGATGCCATCAACGGCTTTTCATACCTGCAGCTTTTCAGTCAGGGAAAGTAACACTTTGTACAGCTGCTTGCTTTGGGGCTCCTCACTGTTGATAGTAAGGGCTACTGTACTCTGAAGTCCTGAGGTACAGTGCATTCGGAAAGTATTCAGACCCTTTGACTTATTCCACATTTTGTTACGTTACAGGCTTATTCAAAAATTGACTAAATTGTTTTTGTCCCTCATCAATCTATACACAATACCCCATAATGACAAAGCAAAAATAGTTTTTTAGAAATGTTTGCAAATTTAGATCAAAAAATTGAAATATCACATTTACCAATGTAAATGTACCCTTTACTCAGTAGTTTGTTGAAGCACCTTTGGCATTAGAGCCCGACCGATATGGGATTTTTGCATTCGATACTGATTTTAGGGAGGCAAAAGTTACCGATTACCAATATGTTTTTTTGGAGGTGCAATGAAAACATACCTTTTTTCACAAATTGTGCTCCTAAATATACAAATGTACATTATTTAAGAACATTTTATTTGTGGTTTACACCAAAAAACAACTATATTCTCTATAAATACGTAAGTAAATACAAAACACTTGTTCAGTTTACCTTCTTAGACACAGCTTTAAGGTGTACCTATCTATGGCAGTGGATAAGAATGCAGAAGTGTTTATGCTGAATCACCACAAGCACACTAATAAACAAGAAGGGCTGAATGAATTAAACTTTGTCTCAAAGTAAATCTGTATACAACCTATGCAGTGAAAGTTCAGTGAAATGCATTTGCATTGAGAATATTCACTAAAGTGCTTTACAACAGTCAAAGGTCATTTTAAGAAATACTTTATGTCAACCTCACAATGAAAGGGTTTCCACTAGTTAACACAGCCACAAAGTCAGAATGGGTGATATCGGTCTTAATTTAAGGTTAGGCATAAGGTTAGCAGTATGTTTAAAATCACATTTTAAGAAGATACATTTTATAAATAGCCGGAGTTTATGTCTTTGTGGCTGTTTTATTTTATTTTATTTTTTTGTAACTAGTGACGACCCAATGAAAGCTTATGACAAGCACACGCTAGCTGTTCATTACGAGAAAAAAAGAAATTAAACCATCATGTAAATTACACTGTTATTCAATACAAACTGTATTGGCTATATATTTCAACTGCAAATGGCATGTGCCGATGACTGAAAACGTTCATGCAGGAAAATGCTTGCTGCACTGGTTTTAGTCACACACGTTCTAATTAACTAGCTAACAATCTTATCTCATCATGAATGTAAGCACGGCCTGAATGATAGATCTGCGGTAACTGTATGAGCAGACGTATTTGTTAATTCTATGTACTTTATATCGGCGCTTTATCTGTGGAATAAAGACCGATAAAAATTTTTTCTGTGAAAGGCAAATATCGCCCGATAATATCGGTCAACCGATATAGCTTTTGGGGATGTGTCAAAATTGTCAAGTGGTCTGGTCCTTTCATTACCTTTTTGAACGGCCAACATTTATTGTAGCAAACAAAATGGGCATTATAGACCACTTTACTTGTACTTCAAATAATCATTTGATATGCTAAACTGTCTCTCTCTCTCCCTCTTGAAGCTCTGGTGGACATCACTTGCACTCTGCTGCTGCTCAACCCAGACTTTACCACCGCTTGGAATGTCAGGTATGGACACCAGCCAATGACTCCAGCTCACACCAGCCCAGCTGTGTTGTGTATTAGGGCCGGGACGATACCAGTATCGCGATACTCATTTGTATCGTGGAAAGGAAATAAAACATGAAGCGGATTCAACTTCTTTAGGAAAGCAGACATAATGTTTGGAAACAAACATCATTATGTTGTCATCCAGAGTCACATTTATTTATTTTCCAAGCTATAGCACACAATATTCTACATACAGCAGGTTTTTAAAGGACCAAAGCATTTGGTCTGCTTCGTGTTTTCATTTTTGCCATGGAAAAAACATTGCAATGCTAGTATCGTCCCGGCCCTATTGTGGATACGATATGTGTGTATATGTTGTGGCTGCAATAACACACAATAACAAAGTCCTGTAAATAGACCCACTCCGTCCGCCTACTCCCTATCAGCTAGACAAACAGACAAAAAACATTAAGATTCCTTGATATAAGTGCTTCATGCAACAAAACGTATTCCTTTTGATCTCAGAGGCTGTTTTTTTTAATGACATTCTCTAGAACACTTCAGTCAGTACTGTGTTGAAATATTAACTACCCTGAATTCTTAGCTGCTCTGAAGAAATTAGGCCAAGCTGTTTTTTGTACTTGTTTGAACCTCCGCTGAGTCTCCTCATATTTGTTTTTGCATTGTCATTATGGGGAATTGTGTGTAGATTGATGAGGGAAAAAATGTATTTAATCAATTTTAGAATAAGGCTGTAACGTAACAATGTGGAAAAAGTCGAGGGGTCTGAATACTTTCCGAATGCAGTGTATATTGTCTCTCATTGCTTCAGTCTTTTGTTCTTCTTTCTAGCTCTTTAAATCTCACGGTTTGATGTTAGACATTCACTCTCCTTCAAAAGAAAAGGAAAAGCCACACACACTGGTAGCTTTGATGCAATAATTTCTTAACAATAATTGCAATAATTTATTTATCAATGTTTCGACAGCAGGCTGTCTTTATCAGGGTTTCAAGACATTCCGTTTCCAATAGAGCCAGACCGATAAATCGGTTGACCGATATCGGCCGATATTAGCCTTTCACATAAATATTTATATCAGTCTTTATTCCACAGATAAGGCACCGATATTATATACATAGAATAAACAAATACGTCTGCTTGTTTGCAGTCATTTTTTTGAAAATATCAATGGTTGCCTGAAGAGTGCCGGACATCATTCAGCCCTAGGTCACAACGTGAGAGAGAGTAGGCATGGTAGTTTGACGGGGAATAGCTTGCCACAGCCAGCGTATATGAATAAGTAAATAATCAAAAGAACACTTCACCAAGCAAGCAGCCCTGTCCTCATCACATTCACACTAAGTTAACGTTAGCTGGCTAGCCAGGAAGGTTGTTTGCTTAGCTAGCTAGCCAGCAAGGTAGTTAGCTTAGCTAGCTAGCAATCTGTTCTACTTATGTGCTAACACTGGACTGGCGCCAAAGTGAACACTCGTCCTTGATACAAAAAGAACACTGTTACTGTCTATTATGTTAGTTTTCCGAAATATATAATCTGCAAAAAGCTTGACAGTTTGTGCAGATTTATCACTAAGGCGTGTGCTTACATTCATGATGAGATAACTAGCTAACGTTTGCTAGCTAGATAAGTTAGAACGTGTGACTAAAACCAGTGCGGCAAGCATTTGCCTGCATAAACGTTTTCAGTCATCAGCACATGCCATTTGCAGTTGAAATGTATAGCCAATACCTTACATTTACATTTTAGTCATTTAGCAGACGCTCTTATCCAGAGCGACTTACAGTTAGTGAATACATATTTTTTTATACTGGCCCCCGTGGGAACGAACCCACAACCCTGGCGTTGCAACGCCATGCTCTTCAACTGAGCTACAATTCCCTGCCGCATTCCCTCCCCTACCCTGGCGACGCATGGGCCAATGGTGCGCCGCCCATGAGTTCCCGGTCGCGACCGGCTGCTGACAGAGCTGGATTAACAGACTCTAGTGGGCACAGTTAGCCTGACGATTCAGTGCATCAGACACTGCCATTAGCAGTTGAAATATACCATTTTGTATTGAATAACAGTGTAATGTACGTATGGTTTCTGTGGGAAAACATTGTTGTAATGAACAGCTAGCTTGTGCTTGTCATAACTTACTCTCATTGCGAGGTTGCCATAAGGTGTTTGTTTACATGACCTTTACATGACCTGTTGTAAACACTGTAGTAAATCTGCTCAAGAGAAATGCTGAGATTAGGAACAGCATGTTACTGCATTTCAATGCTTATTTGTGAACTTGTGAACAGTGCATTTTCAGATTTACTTTGAAACAAAGTTTCATTCAGCCAGCCACCCCTTGTGGTGGTTTAGCACAAACACTTTTGCATACTTCATATCCACTGCCATAGATAGACACATCTTTAAGTTGTACCTAAGAAGGTAAACTAAACAAGTTTACTGTCGTATTTATAGAGGATATAGTTTCTTTTTGGTGGATATCCTGTAAACCACAAATAAAATGTTCTGCAAATAAAATGTTCTGAAATAATGTTAATCTAAATATTTTGTTAAGAAATCATCATTTATGTTATCTGTTAATCCGTTAGAACACAATTTGTGTAAAAAAAAGGTATGTTTTTCATTTCACCCAAAAAATGATATATCGGCTGATATATCGTGATTCAGTGACTTTTGCCTCCCTAAAATCAGTATCGGACCCAAAAATCCCATATCGGTTGGTCTCTACTCTCCAACTTGTACCTTCTGGAGATACACTATATATATAAAAGTATGTGGACACCCCTTCAAATGAGTGGATTCGGCTATTTCAGCCACACCCGTTGCTGACAGGTGGGTAAAATCGAGCACACAGCCATGCAATCTCCATAGACAAACATTGGCAGTAGAATGGCCTTACTGAAGAGCTCAGTGGCTTTCAACGTAGAACCGTCATAGGATGCCACCTTTCCAACAAGTCAGTTTGTCAAATTTCTGCCCTGCTAGAGCTGCCCTGGTCAACTATAAGTGCTGTTATTGTGAAGTGGAAACGTCTAGGAGCAACAACGGCTCAGCCGCAAAGTGGTAGGCCGCACAAGCTCACAGAACGGGACCGGCGAGTGTTGAAGCACGTAGCGCGTAAAAATTGTCTGTCCTCGGTTGCAACACTCACTACCGAGTTCCATACTGCCTCAGGAAGCAACGTCAGCACAATAACTGTTCGTCGGGAGCTTGGTTTCCATGCACGAGCAGCCGCACACAAGCCTAAGATCACCAAGCGTCGGCTGGAGTGGTGTAAAGCTCGCTGCCATTGGACTCTGTCACGGTTTCGGCCGAGGCGGCCCCTCCTTGTTCGGGCAGGTTTCGGCGGTCGTCGTCTCCGGAGTACTAGCTGCCACCGCTCTATGTTTCTTGTTTGATTGGTTTTGTCTGTTTGTCACACCTGTTTTGTGTTATGTCTCAATTAGCACCCTATTTAGTTTCCTTGTTGTTAGTTAGGTGTTGTGTGTAATTGTTCCATGTCGTGTTGCTGCGCTGCATGTATTTTGGTGCGCTATTTTGTGCTTTCCTCCTTGTTTGTGTTTTAGGAGTAGATTACGCACTTGTTGATTGCGCCCGTTTGTATACGCCTGTGCGCGCTTTTCTCGCCTCCGGGCTGGTTTTGGATATTTATTGTGATATCTACTAAAGTATTTTTGTTGGACTTTACTTCTGCCTCCTGCGCCTGATTCCACACCACACCTACCATAGCAACTCCTGACAGACTCTGGCAGTCCGACGGACTAATCTGGGTTTGGCGGAAGCCAGAAGAACGCTATCTGCCCGTATACCAACTGTAAAGTTTGGTGGAGGAGGATTAATGGTCTGGGGCTGTTTTTCATGGTTCGGACTAGGCCCCTTAGTTCCAGAGAAGGGAAATCTTAACACTACAATATCCAATAACCTAGACTATTCTGTGCTTCCAACTTTGTGGCAACAGTTTGGGGAAGGCCCTTTCCTGTTTCAGCATGACAATGCCCCCGTGCACAAAGCGAGGTCTGTACAGAAATGGTTTGTCGAGATCGGTGGAAGAACTTGACTGGCCTGCACAGAGCCCTGACCTCAACCCCATCGAACACCTTTGGGATGAATTGGAACGCCGACTGCGAGCCAGGCCTAATCGCCCAACATCAGTGCCTGACCTCACTAATACTCTTGTGGCTGAATGGAAGTCCCCGCAGCAATGTTCCAACATCTAGTGGAAAGCCTTCCCAGAAGAGTGGAGGCTGTTATAGCAGCAAAGGGGGGACCAACTCCATATTAATGCCCATGATTTTGGAATGAGATGTTCGACGAGCATGTGTCCACATGCATTTGTTCATGTACTGTATCTTGGCCAGCTATAGGTTGTATTCAGTTGTGGGCCCTATTCTTGAATTGCACGTTTCATCACAATATCGTTGTGAACATTCTAAGCGTTCTCCTCATTGAATTGTCAATGGCGCTGATGAAGACATACAGTGGGGAGAACAAGTATTTGATACACTGCCGATTTTGCAGGTTTTCCTACTTACAAAGCATGTAGAGGTCTGTAATTTGTATCATAGGTACACTTCAACTGTCAGAGACAGAATCTAAAACAAAAATCCAGAAAATCACATTGTATGATTTTTAAGTAATTAATTTGCATTTTATTGCATGACATAAGTATTTGATCACCTACCAACCAGTAAGAATTCCGGCTCTCACAGACCTGTTAGACCCGCCAAGCCGTGCTTCTTAACACCCGCCCGCTTAACCCGGAAGCCAGCCGCACCAATGTGTCGGAGGAAACACCGTTCACCTGACGATCGAGGTCAGCCTGCAGGCGCCCGGACCGCCACAAGGAGTCGCTATTGCGTGATGAGTCAAGTAAAGCCTCATGCGATGAGCCAAGTAAAGTCTTACAGTTCATGTAAGTAAATCAGTCAATTGATAAAAAAATATTTGGCCCTAATCTATGGATTTCACATGACTGGGAATACTGATATGTTGGTCAAAGATACCTTTAAAAAAAAGTATGGGTGTGGATCTGAAAACCAGTCAGTATCTGGTGTGACCACCATTTGCACATTTTAGAGTGGCCTTTTATTGTCCCCAGCACAAAGTGCACCTGTGTAATGATCATGCTGTTTAATCAGCTTCTTGATATGCCACACCTGGCAGGTGGATGGATTATGCCACACCTGGCAGGTGGATGGATTATCTTGGTAAAGGAGAAATGCTCACTAACAGGGATGTAAAGAAATTAGTGCCCAAAATGTGAGAAAAATAAGCTTTTTGTGCGTATGGAACGTTTCAGGAATCTCTTATTTCAGCTCATGAAACATGGGACCAACACTTTACATGTTGCGTTTATATTTTTGTTCAGTGTATTTCAAGGCCACTATAGTGTAATTTAGACTTAACAGTCATTAGCCCCCATTCAAAATGACTGGGTATCACTGTACTTTTGGGCACCAATGCTGTGGCGTCTGTAGAACGTTCATAACAATGGCAACAATGGGACAGAGTGACGGAGCTGCAACCCATGAATTCGGAGTTGAGATAACCATGTGTAACAGTATTGCTTCCTTCCCCCTCCTTGCCCCAACATGGGTTCGAACCAGTAACCCTCTGAACTAGGATTGGGCGATATTATGTTAGCCTTCGTCGATGGTGATGACATTGTGATGTGACAGACGATGGTTTAGCCTATTTGAACTTGACGTAGTCTCGCAGTGCACAAGTGACATTCCGAGTAATTTGTCTATTCCTATTTGCTGTAGCCTATTTCAACAAATATGATTTATACAGAACGCAAGAGAGGAATGTAGTCTAGACAAAGCGGAGAATTCCACCAAAGCAGTGCAAAATGTACAGTCAGAAAATATTGTTTCTATCGCTCTGTCAGATGCATGGGCCTCAGGCTATAGCCTAAACCTTTAAAAAATATATATAATAAACTATCATAACTATCTTGTCTAGTTGTTTTTAAAAACTTAGACTATGTTCCCTTCGCTCTCCATTCTAGGCTATGAATATGACTTTGGGCTATTTGGCTACGCTTTCATCGTTTTATTCATGGCTTTCTTCCAATAAAACAATGAATGCAACAGAGTTACATCTCAAAACCTTGTTGGAATAGCCTAAAAACGTAAGGTAGCCAGGGGACTAATAATGAGAGAGAACAATGTCAATAGCCTATAGAAAAATCGAATGACAAGTTTATGCTTATTAAGAAATAAATTATCCATGCAGGCCAGGAAAATTCCTCAATGCAAGGTTGAAAACCAAATTGGCAGTAACATATCCTCCTACTAAGCCTATTATAAACGTTTAAGAGAAGTTAAAGGTTGCAATATGCAGAAGTCGCTGCGCCATTTCCTGGTTGCTAATATTCTAATAGTTTAATTTCAGTTTATGTGACAAATGTCATTTTACCATCTAAACTGCTGTGAAATATATGTTCAATAACCAAAAATATTGTATTTTCAACTGTTTGAAGCTGGTGTACAAAACCGTAAGCAAAAGACAGAAAAACAAAACTTAAGATTGGGAAGCATAAAAATAGCGCACATAGAACAGATCTACCGCTTCTTAGACTTGGGTTGAATGATAATGACACATTTCTATGTGAATTTGGTCAGGTCGCCCAAAAAGTTACATATTGTAGCTTTTTAAAGTTATGAACAGTAACTTATTTCCAAAATATTCTAGTTTAAGAGGGTGTTGTCCTAAAGTTGCCGCTTTCAAAAAGAACAAGAATGAAAGTCTATAGCATAGGCTATTCTCAACCACAGCTGTATGAGAGATAGAACAAACAATATTATTGATTTACTATTAGTTTATGAGGCAAATAAAGCAATTATCCAGTTATTAGCCACTAACTATCTAGCCATTTCACATTGGCTAAATATGCATGCTTAACTAATGCGTAAATCATTCATTAATGTAAATGGGAGACCTTTGCGAAAAATTCAAGTGACGTGCCCTGATCTCATGTCAGAATAATACTGTCCTATGTGTTGTACAGTCAGGAACTAACGAGGCAATGCATGCTAGTGACCCACATATGGCCCATCATCAGAGAGAAACTAGAGGTGGCTTCCCTCTACCCTGCTATTAGGGCTCTGGTCAAAAGTAGTGCACTCTGTAGGGAATAGGATCCCATTTGGGATGCAAACTCTACCCAGCTCAGCTCTGCTGTAGGTCTATTGGGGTTCAGGAGGAGGTCCAGTCACGGTGTCCTGTTGACCTGCTTCTCTGTCTCTCTCTGCTGCTCTGCCATCTATATGACAACATGCTAGGCTTTCTGTCACCTGACTTGATACTGCGCTGGCCTCGATATTTGACTTCTGTCTATTAGGCTTCTCTACCCAGCCCAGCTCTGCCCAGCTCTACTGTAGGTCTGTTTGGGAGGTCCAGTCACTGTGTCCTGCTGGCCGGCTTCTCTGTCCATGCTGTTCTGTTTTCTATTGTGTCACAGCAGGCTAGGCCTCCTGTCACCTGACTGGCTGTGGCCTGGCCTCAATGTCTGACTTGGTAGTTGATTATTGTATCAGACAGTGATTCTCATTCTTATAAGCATAGTGCAGTTCATTTTGTCAAGGGAATATGAGTCATCTGAAGCAGCTGTTTTTAAATCCACTTGTTTGAAACCTGGGGCTATACCTGATACCTCAACCATGTGTTTGCAGTTTTGGCCAGGAGATGGCGCTAAAATATCACCTTTTAACCAAACACTGCAATGGATTTACATATTACATCAGTCAGCAGTGTTGTTCAACCCTCGTCCTGGAGAGCTACAGTGTGTTGGGTTTTGTTCTAGCCCAGCACTAACACAACCGATTCAGCTCATCATCAGGTGTGTTGGTGCTGGGTTGGAATATAAACCCTGTATTGGTCTCCAGGATGAGGGTTGAAGAACACTGTGTTACAGGGTGGCATTTTAAGGATGAATGAACTGGTTTGTGATTGTGGGCTGGTTTCCCAGACACAGATTCAGCCTATTCCTGGACTAAATCACACTTTAAAGGAGAATCTCAGTTGAGAATATTTTTTAGTCCAGGACTAGGCTTAATCTGTGTCTGGGAATTCACCCCTGTGAGGTGTTGGTGCTGTTCTGTGGGTGACATCTCCTTTTAGACATTGACCTGACTCAAACCCCTTCTATTGCCCTGAGTCAGCTCAACGTATTATTCCTCTGACTACAGAGTGGACCAAGGCCTTTAAGACACATGTTCTTTCTTTAAAAGCCCTATTCGGACGGGATAAGTTATACTGGAGGAGGTCAGGTAATGTAATGATGTGCACAAGCACAAAACACCAACCACTTCTGTAATTTTAGTCCCATCCGAATCCGCCATGTCAGTCATTTTTACATGGCAGGAGAGTAACAATTCCAGCCAGAATAACCTACAGTTTTTTTGGCAAACTCCAAAGTCCCCTGATAATACTAGTCCCGTGTGAAACAACATCCCTGTGTTTTGAGAGAAATGTCTGAGTTTGACAGGTGTTGCTCGAGGTTTGAGCAAGAAAACAATAATTGATTAGATACATTTAACAAAGTGCTGCGTATAGCCTTTATATGAAAGGCCTACATGTATCAACTTGCACAGTGAATGGTTTTGTTTCTACGTTTTGTGCGAATGAATTGAACAACGGCAAATGCATGATAAAAAAATATTGTGCCTATTTAATGCAAACCTTGCTGTTAATAGATCGCAAAGCAGCATACAACTGAGCTAAATGTTTGGAAATTACAAGTTCACTTTCTCATACATAGCCTAAAACGAATATCAAGTGCGCTGTTTAGCTCACATCTGAAGGCTGGGGGGCATTTGGGGCGTATTCTATTGCGGATCGCTAAAATATCCTAATGATTATGATCCCACTTCCTCAAATCAAATATTATGGTGACTCTATGCCAAATATATTTTCTCAAACTTGGGAACCTAGCTCAAGTTTTCAGTGTAGCCTGTTATGGCCCGGACTTATTAAAATATCCTCAGGCCTAGAAAAAAAAACTCCAGGGTTCTGTCATAACCAACGTTCTCCAGTAATACTAGTCCCGTGCGAATAGGGCTAAAGACAACACCCTGGTAAAATCGTTTTTTCATACCAAATACGTATCCAACTGTCAAGGTCACTTACCTAATCGTTGCCTGGTATATTTAATTAAGCCTTCTTCAAACATTTGCTCATTTGGCAGAGAATAAAGAAGTAGTCAGCACTTCCATGGTGTAGGCTATTTAGCCTGTGAATGTATTTGCTTTGGGTAGACTCGACCTTGTACATTAAGTGTCTTTGAGGGTCAGGCCTAACTTTGATCAATTCAATTAAAATAACGTTTTTTTCCTGTGAGAAGTTATTTAGTCGAGTGATTAATAAAACAAAACAAGTATGCAAATAGCATGCACACAAATGTGCCCAATGCAGTAACATAACATTCACATTAGGTAGGGAACATTGAGATTGACAGTCATTGAATAGTTCCTCTCTTCTGTCTCTTTTGGCAGGAAGGAGCTGCTGCAATGCGGAGCCCTAAATCCAGAGAGAGACCTGTACCTGGGAAAACTGGCCCTCACCAAGTTCCCCAAGAGCCCCGAGACATGGATACACAGGTAGGACTGGAGAGGGGTGTGTGTGTGTGTGTGTGTGCGCGCGTGCGCGTGCATGGGTGCCTGCATGTGTGTGTGTCCACATTCAATATTTTAAAAATATTAAACTGTAACGATTTTACGATGCATGTTTCGTCACCAGTGGACCAAAGTATTTTAGTGCCTCTAAAACGATGGCATTTATAGGTTCCACTGTAAATCCTCTCACACACTTAAACACAACACATACACACACGTCCGATAAACACACACACCCTTACACACACTTACACACGTCACACGCACATACACACACAGACGGTTAAACAGGTCCAATCTTTACTGCCTCTGCTGAGTCCCTGCTCGGCTCTAAACCAGGCCACAGAATAAATCTGTTGAAATATTAATGATGGAATAAAGTTATGCAATTTACCACCACTAACCCAAGCTGAGAGGGAGGGAGGGATGGAGAGAGTTAATGAGGGATGAAGAGAGAGGAGGAGAGAAGGAAAGCGAGAGAGTGTGGGGTGGAGAGAAAGGGGGAGAGTGAGAGAGGGTGGTGGTGGAGAGAGAGAGAAGGATGGAGAAAGACTGAATAAGAAAGAGAGAGAGAAACAGAGGTATGCACAGGAGTGAGAGAGAGTGGGGAGATCTCCTTTGAGAGACGGACGGTCACTGGGCCAAGCCAGCCTACTTCCCACAGTTTACCCCCCGCCCCCCGTCATGTTAGATCAAGACCAAGCCCCCGCCGGGAGGCCATAGGATCACATCCCATCAGATAGACACCCTTCCTACCTGCCACCCTGCAAGCCCCAAGGGACCCTGGGAGATTAGGGTCACATGATCATCAATGGCCTGACCCTGGTTTCATTCAGCATATTGTAGAAGGAGGGCGAAAGAGAGGGTGAAAAGGGAGGAAGGGTGAGGGGTATAGAGTAGAAACGGAGGGGCAATAATGGAGAGAGGGTGAGGGGGAGGGAGGACACTCCCTAGCATCAGCTCTATGCAAGGGCATGGCTGTTGTTCTGCAGGAATTGTTGCATCATGTCATCATGTGCTGCCTACTGGAGAGGGGAGGTTCCAGATGGAGATTCCAGCAGCAGTTTGTTTACATCCTCTAGCTGTAGCATGAGAACAGGGATTATTATGTCACAGTGGGCTAACACTGAGACATGGTCATGGTGAATGGTGGTTTTCTACAGTGCCTTCAGAAAGTATTCACACCCCTTAACTTTTTCCACATGTTGTGTTACAGCCTGAATTTAAAATAGTTAACGATTTTTTTTCACTGGCCTACACACAAGCGGAATTATTATTATTATTATATTTTTTGTACGAATTAATTACAAATGAAAAGCTGAAATGTCTTGAGTCAATAAGTATTCAATCCCTTTGTTATGGCAAGCCTAAATAAGTCCATGAGTAAAAATGTGCTTAACAAGTCACATAGTAAGTTGCATGGACTCACTCTGTGTGCAATCATTGTGTTTAACATGCTTTCACTGTTGCCAGAGAGGAAGGAAACCGCTCAGGGATTTCACCATGAGGCCAATGGTGACTTAAAAACAGTTACAGAGTTTAATGGCAAAACAGTTACAAAGTTTAATTGGCTGTGATAGGAGAAAACTGAGGATGGATCAACGACATTGTAGTTGACAGAGTGAAAAGAAGGAAGCCTGTACAGAATACAAATATTCCAAAACATGCATCCTGTTTGCAACAAGGCACTAAAGTAGTACTGCAAAAAATATGGCAAAGCAATTATGTTTGGAGCAAATCCAATCCAACATGTTACTGAGTACCGCTCTGCATCATGTTATGGCTATGCTAGTAATCGTTAAGGACTGAGTTTTTCAGAGTAGAACAGAAACGGAATGGAGCTAAGCGAAGGCAAAATCCTAGAGGAAAACATGGTTCATGTTGCTTTCCATCAGACACTGGGAGATGAATTCACCTTTCAGCAGGACATTAACTTAAAACACAAGGCCAAATCTACACTGGAGTTGCTTACCAAGAAGACATTGAATGTTCCTGAGTGGCCGAGTTACAGTTTTGACTTAAATCTGCTTGAAAATCTATGGCAAGAAAATGGTTGTCTAGCAATGATCAGCAACCAATTTGACATAGCTTCAATAATTTTGAAAAGCATAATGGGCAGATGTTTCACAATCCAGGTGTGGAAAGCTCTTAGAGACTTACCAAGAAAGACTCACAGCTGCATTCCCTGCCAAAGGTGATTCTAACATATATTGACTCAGGCAGTTTAATAGTTATCTAATCAAGATATTTGATACACTGCCAATTTTGCAGGTTTTCCTACTTACAAAGCATGTAGAGGTCTGTAATTTTTATCATAGGTACACTTCAACTGTGAGAGACGGAATCTAAAACAAAAATCCAGAAAATCACATTGTATGATTTTTAAGTAATTAATTTGCATTTTATTGCATGACATAAGTATTTGATCACCTACCAACCAGTATGAATTCCAGCTCTCACAGACCTGTTAGTTTTTCTTTAAGAAGCCCTCCTGTTCTCCACTCATTACCTGTATTAACTGCACCTGTTTGAACTCATTACCTGTATAAAAGACACCAGTCCACACACTCAATCAAACAGACTCCAACCTCTCCACAATGGCCAAGACCAGAGAGCTGTGTAAGGACATCAGGGATAAAATTGTAGACCTGCACAAGGCTGGGATGGGCTACAGGACAATAGGCAAGCAGCTTGGGGAGAAGGCAACAACTGTTGGCGCAATTATTAGAAAATTGAAGAAGTTCAAGATGACGGTCAATCACCCTCGGTCTGGGGCTCCATGCAAGATCTCACCTCGTGGGGCATCAATTATCATGAGGAAGGTGAGGGATCAGCCCAGAACTACACGGCAGGACCTGGTCAATGACCTGAAGAGAGCTGTGACCACAGTCTCAAAGAAAATCATTAGTAACACACTACGCCGTCATGGATTAAAATCCTGCAGCGCACGCAAGGTCCCCCTGCTCAAGCCAGCGCATGTCCAGGCCCGTCTGAAGTTTGCCAATGACCATCTGGATGATCCAGAGGAGGAATGGGAGAAGGTAATGTGGTCTGATGAGACAAAAATAGAGCTTTTTGGTCTAAACTCCACTTGCCTTGTTTGGAGGAAGAAGAAGGATGAGTACAACCCCAAGAACACCATCCCAACCGTGAAGCATGGAGGTGGAAACATAACTCTTTGGGGATGCTTTTCTGCAAAGGGGACAGGACGACTGCTGAGGATGGATGGGGCCATGTATCGCGAGATCTTGGCCAACAACCTCCTTCCCTCAGTAAGAGCATTGAAGATGGGTCGTGGCTGGGTCTTCCAGCATGACAACGACCCGAAACACACAGCCAGGGCAACTAAGGAGTGGCTCCGTAAGAAGCATCTCAAGGTCCTGGAGTGGCCTAGCCCGTCTCCAGACCTGAACCCAATAGAAAATCTTTGGAGGGAGCTGAAAGTCCATATTGCACAGCGACAGCCCCGAAACCTGAAGGATCTGGAGAAGGTCTGTATGGAGGAGTGGGACAAAATCCCTGCTGCAGTGTGTGCAAACCTGGTCAAGACCTACAGGAAATGTATGATCTCTGTAATTGCAAACAAAGGTTTCTCTACCAAATATTAAGTTCTGCTTTTCTGATGTATCATATACTGATGTCATGCAATAAAATGCAAAAATATTTTTTTCTTTACATAGTTGAATGTGCTGACAACAAAATCACACAAAAATACTTGTTCTCCCCACTGTGTGTATGTATATATATATATATATATATATATATATATATATATATACTACCAGTCAAAAGTTTGGACACACCTACTCATTCAAGGGTTTTTCTTTATTTATAAAAATGTTTACATTGTAGGATAATAGTGAAGACATCAAAACTATGAAATAACACATATGGAATCATGTAGTAAACAAAAAACGTGTTAAACAAATCAAAATATATTTTATATTTGAGAATCTTCAAATAGCCACCCTTTGCCTTGATGACAGCTTTAAACACTCTTGACAATCTGTCAACCAGCTTCAAATGGAATGCTTTTCCAACAGTCTTGAAGGAGTTCCCACATATGCTGAGCACCTGTTGGCTGCTTTTCCTTCACTCTGCGGTCCAACTCATCCCAAACCATCTCAAATGGGTTGAGGTCGGGGGATTGTGGAGGCCAGGTCATCTGGTGCAGCACTCCATCACTCTCCTTCTTGGTAAAATAGCCCTTACACAGCCTGGAGGTGTGTTGGGTCATTGTCCTGTTGAAAAACAAATGATAGTCCCACTAAGCCCAACCAGATGGGAGGGCGTATCGCTACAGAATGATGTGGTAGCCATGCTGGTTAAGAATTCTAAATAAATGACAGACAGTGTCACCAGCAAAGCACCCCCACAACATAACACCACCTCCTCCATGCTTTACGGTGGGAAATACACATGCAGAGATCATCCGTTCACCCACACTGCGTCTCACAAAGACACGGCGGTTGGAACCAAATATCTCCAATTTGGACTCCAGACCAAAGGACAAATTTCCACCTGTCTAATGTCCATTGCTCGTGTTTCTTGGCCCAAGCAGGTCTCTTCTTGTTATTGGTGTCCTTTAGTAGTGGTTTCTTTGCAGCAATTTGACCATGAAGGCCTGATTCACACAGTCCCCTCTGAACAGTTGATGTTGAGATGTGTCTGTTACTTGAACTCTGTGAAGCATTTATTTGGGCTGCAATTTCTGAGGCTGGTAACTCTAATGAACTTATCCTCTGCAGCAGAGGTAACTCTGGGTCTTCCATTCCTGTGGCGGTCCTCATGAGAGCCAGTTTCATTTACATTTACATAATTTAGCAGACGCTCTTATCCAGAGCGACTTACAAATTGGTGCATTCAACTTATGATAGCCAGTGGGACAACCCCCATTTTTTTGTGTGTGGGGGGGGGGGGAGCTTTTTTGTGGGGGAGTTTGGCCTTGTGGGGGAGCTTGTTCCACCATTGGGGTGCCAGAGCAGCAAATAGCTTTCACTGGGCTGAGCGGGAACTGTGCTTCCGTAGAGGTAGGGGAGCTAGCTAGTTTCATCTAGTGCTTGATGGTTTTTGAGACTGCATTTGAAGAAACTTTCAAAGTTCTTGAAATTTTCTGGATTGACTGACCTTCATGTCTTAAAGTAATGATGGACTGTCGTTTCTCTTTGCTTATTTGAGATGTTCTCTTTGCTTATTTGAGATGGACTTGGTCTTTTACCAAATAGGGTAATCTTCTGTATACCACCCGTACCTTGTCACATCACAACTGATTGGCTCAAATGCATTAAGAAGGAAATAAATTCCATAAATTCACTTTTAAGAAGGCACACCTGTTAATTGAAATGCATTCCAGGTGACTACCTCATGAAGCTGGTTGAGAGAATGCCAAGAGTGTGCAAAGCTGTCATCAAGGCAAAGGGTGGCTATTTGGTTACTACATGATTCCATATGTGTTATTTCATAGTTTTGATGTCTTCACTATTATTCTACAATGTAAAAATAAAGAAAAACCCTGGAATTAGTAGGTGTGTCCAAACTTTTGACTGGTACAGTATATATATTTTTTCAAATGTAAGAATTTTTCTTCCACTTTGACATTACAGAGTATTTTGTGTAGATTGTTGACCCCAAAAAAATGACAATTAAATCCATTTGAATCCCACTTCATAACACAACAAAATGTGGAGAAAGTCAAGGTGTGTATATGGCCATATTTAGTGTGTACAGGACATGATCTGACTGACCCAAAATGACCCCTCATCTGGCCAGCAAAGTGTTTAGCAGCCTGAGAAGGCTGTGGTTGCACCATGCATACTGAGAATGCCATGGCAGTTGATAGTTCACTGAAGTAGCCATTTTGTATTGATGTTATCCAAGCCTTTTGTCCTGGCTCTGTTGTTGAACCAGATGCTTAGGTTCGGTTGGTTCTGGGTTTAGGGCTGTTGTTTTGAGAGCCGAGGATATTTGAGGTGCGTGTGTGTGTTCAGTCAGTGTATATAACGAAACATTCCCCCTGTGTTACTAGGCGCTGGGTACTACAGCAGGTTCTACGGGAGTGTTCTCCCCCCAGCCCGGACAGGAAGGAGCAGGAGGACGGTGATCTGCGTGACGCAGCAGAGAGGACGCGGATTAGTGAGCGCCTCCACAGGGTTCTACACGACGAGATGAAGGTATGCGCCGATGCTGCTGGCCGCTACCCTAGCAACTACAACGCCTGGTCGCACCGTATCTGGGTCCTGCAGAACATGGCCCAGGGCAACCTGAAGGTAGGAGTAGGACGCGATTAGGTCTACCTCGCTCTCTCTCTGGCTTCTTACTTCTCTCTGTGTCCTGTTTTCTTTCCCCCCCTGTTTCTCTCTCCCTCACTCTCTATCTATCTCTCTATCTTTCTCTTTCTCTTCCTCGTTTCTTTCTCTCTCACTCCTTGTGTTTTTTTTTTGTATCTCTCTCCACTATTTCTCTCTCTTGTGTTTCCTTCCTTCTCTCTCTCTCTCTCTGCCTCTTAAATGTATGTTCATTGTACATGGTCTCTGTCAAAACATTGACAGCTCTTTCAATGTAATATTGACAGAAAACATCTGTGTGTGCTAGTCAGGCAGGCAGCTAGCTGTGAATGTGTCATGCAGCTAGCATGGCTTATACAGTATGACCAGGGTCAGTGTGTCTCCAGCCCGCTCTGCCTCACATCTCTGGCCTGTCACTGTGTGTTGAGGAGGACAGGAACTTTCTCAAATCTAAAATAAGAGGCCTAGGGATTTAAAGGTGGATGAAGAGTGTTGTGGCTCAGTTGATCCGCGCCTAATCTTTAAGCCACGCCAGGCACTCCTAGGATATGAAGAGATGCTACTGTATATTAGGACCAGGGATATAGGACTGTGACAGAGTAGACAATAACAATGATACTTTAATAGGCACTTCATGTTATGATAGGATAAGCCTACTCTCTGATCACCCATTGGAGTTTGGTTAATGTAATGGCTGTCCTGATAGCGTTCGATTGGTCGAATCATGTCTTTGTAAGAAGCCAAATAATTTCCCTCTCTCTTTTGGAATTATATGTTGGTTAGCATAGGGCAAATACCTTTGAATGGAAAACCCTGAGTGACTGAGGTCTAAATCACCTCTCCTCCTCTTTTCTCAGGTCCTCCATGATGAGCTGTCCTCCATGCGTCAGTGGGTCTCCATGCACGTGTCGGACCACAGTGGCTTCCACTACCGCCAGTTCCTGCTCAAGGCCCTGGTCAGGGAGCTCAGCCAGTCCCTGCACCACCACCATGCCCCCCGGCCCAGCCCCGGCAGCTCCAGCCCTCGCAGCCCCAGCCCAGCCCCCCAGCCAGCCCACCCAGCCCACCCCCAGCACCAGGCTAACGGAGAGGCCACAGCAGCAGCCCCCTGCCCCTCTCCCGCCACCCCAGATGACCAGTCCTCGGTGCCGGCCGTGCCCCAACTCTTCCACCAGGAGATGGAGCTGTGTACTGACCTCATCCAGTCCTTCCCCGGACACGAGACGCTCTGGTGTCACAGGTACGAGCCCACAGGCCAATGTCACTGTCACTCAACCTGAGACTACAATGTTAGCCAATCACAGAACACATTTTATTATGAGACGCTCTGTTGTCACAGGTGAGACCAAAGGAGGACTAATCATGGACCAGCACGTTGCTGTATCTAGTGTGTGGCCTAATTTCAGGTAGAGCCATAGACACTGTACAGAGTTTGGCTAACTACCCTCCATATTGGTGGCAAATGCTTTGTGATGCCAAATATTTTTTTTCTTCTGTTAGACCATTACAATGTTCTCAGGACTCTCAGTAGTGGATGTGTTGGTGGGCCCCTATCATGTCATATACGCTGTTTTTCTGCAGAACATTCTTTGTTTTTTTAGAGAGGGAGAGAGAGAGCGAGAATAGAGATACAGAGAATAGTGATATAGAGAATAGCGAGAGGAAAGGGGGAACAGAGCAAGCGAGAGAGAGGAGAGAGAGCTGGGGAAAGAAGGAACAGAGAGAGAGAGGGGAAATATATATGTTTTCCCCCTAGGCTGAAGACCAGCTGCTCAGTAGAACGTGTTTATACCTGACCAGTAGGGCTGGGGGATATTTAGAATTAATTTGATTCATTCTAATTTATGATTTAGCACGATATTTGAAATGCCTGTATCACAAGAATCAACTGTTTATGTCCGCTTGTTCTCTTTTTGGTCTCGTCTCCTTCGCTCCTTCTGCTATGACTGTGCACCTTCCCATTTAAACACACACACACCAAGCTCCTCCCCCAGCCACTCACAAAGCCCCCCCCCCCCCCCCCACACCAAGCTCCCCCCTCCCCACACCAAGCTCCTCCCCCACACACAAAGCTCTTCCTCCGGCCATTCAACAAAGATGAAAGGTCACTTCTTCCTCTCTGACAACAAGCGGTTTCAACTCGCTATTTGCATTTGAGGTTTGGTCGAACAGTCTCTCATAGGGACACCGAAACACGTTGAGACATTATTTTCTATAATAGAGGAGAACTTAACGTTTCTAACGATACTCTTTTTATGTCTCAACTCCTCAAATTGCGCGAAGAGCAGACCCTACTAAAACGGGAGTATCAATGAACATTGATTCTGGAAAATGAATGCTCAGTTTCTGTCTGGCCCTGCATTGCGGTACCACGTACCACTAGCAGCATTTTGTCGCCCTTCCACATCTGCGGTGGAAGTTGGCCGAGCTACAGCGGTGTTTGTCAGACCATTAGACACGAAAAACGTCTGTAGGCCGAACGGTTTGGCCTACAAAACTACACTGAACAAAAATATAAGTGCGACATGTAAAGTGTTGGTCCCATGTTTCATGAGCTGAAATAAAAGATCGCAGAAATGTTCCATTCGCACAAAAAGCTTATTTCTCTCAAATGTTTTGCACATAAAAGGCCACTATAAAATGTTCAATTTTGTCACACAACAAATTGCCACAGATGTCTCAAGTTTTGAGGGAGTGTGCAATTGGCATGCTGACAGCAGAAATGCCCACCAGACCTGTTGCCAGAGAATTTAATGTTAATTTCTCTACCATGAACCGCCTCCAATGTCATTTTAGAGAATTTGGCATTACGTCCAACCGACCTCACAACCGCAGACCACATGGAACCACACCAGCCCTGGCTTCTTCACCTGTGGGATCACCTGCATCATTCACCTGGACAGCTGATGAAACTGTGGATTTGCACAACCAAAGAATTTCTGCACAAACTGTCAGAAACCGTCTCAGGGAAGCTCATCTGCGTGCTCGTCGTCCTCAGCAGGGTCTTGACCTGACTGCAGTTCGGCGTCGTAACCTACTTCAGTGGGAAAATGCTCACCTTAGATGGCCACTGGCCCGCTGGAGAAATGTGCTCGTCACGGATGAATCCCGGTTTCAACTGTACCTGGCAGACCCGGTTTCAACTGTACCTGGCAGATGGCAGACAGAGTGTATGGCTGACAGCGTCGTGTGGGCGAGCGGTTTGCTGATGTCGACGTTGTTAACAGAGTGCCCCATGGTGGCTGTGGGTTTATGGTATGGGCAGGAATAAGCTACCGTCAACAAACACAATTGCATTGTATCGAAGGCAATTTGAATGCACAGAGATTCAGTGACGAGATCCTGAGGCCCATGTCGTGCCATTCATCCGCCGCCATCACCTCATGTTTCAATGCACGGCCCCATGTCGCAAGGATCTTTACACCATTCCTGGACTCTGAAAATGTCCCAGTTCTTCCATGGCCTGCATACTCACCAGACATGTCACCCATTGAGCACGTTTGGGACGCTCTGGATCGACGTGTACGTCAGCGTATTCCAGTTCCCGTCAATATCCAGCAACTCCGCACAGCCATTGAAGAGGAGTGGGACATCATTCCACAGGCCACAATCAACAGCCTGATCAACTCTATGCGAAAGAGATATGTCGCGCTGCATGAGGCAAATGGTGGTCAAACCAGATACTGACTGGTTTTCTGATCCACGCCCCTACCTTTTTTTTTATAGATATCTGTGACCAACAGATGCATATTTTGTATTCCCAGTCATGTGAAATCCATAGATTAGGGTCAAATGAATTTATTTAAATTGACTGATTTCCTTATATGAACTGTAATTTCTAAAATCTTTGAAATTGTTGCATGTTGCATTTATATTTTGTTCAGTGAATTATGGCCACTCTATGGAAAGATGAAAATCTCACGAACACAATTGTAATCCATACAAGTGAGTAGAAGTATGGAGTAGTTTTGTGCCAACAAAAATAAGAGGTTAAATATGTGTCCAAAAAAACGTAAATATTTTCTGAGCTTTCTTACACAAAGTATTCAGACCCCTTCCCCTTTTCCACATTTTATTACGTTAAAGCCTTATTCTAAAATTACATTTACATTTAAGTCATTTAGCAGACACTCTTATCCAGAGCGACTTACAAATTATGGGTTAAATATTTCTTTCCCCTCATCAATCTGTACACAATACCCCATAATGACAAAGTGAAAACAGGATAGAGCTCAGGTGCATCCTGTTTCCATTGATCATCCTTGCAATGTCTATAAAACTTGATTGGAGTCCACCTGTGATAAATTCAATTGATTGGACATGATTTGGAAAGGCACACACCTGTCTATATAAGGTCCCATAGTTGACAGTGCATGTCAGAGCAAAAACCAAGCCATGAGATCGAAGGAATTGTCCGTAGAGTTCTGAGACAGGATTTTGTCGAGGAACAGATCTGGGGAAGGGTACCAAAAGATTTCTGCAATATTGAAGGTCCCCAAGAACACAGTGGCCTCCATCATTCTTAAATGGAAGAAGTTTGGAACCATCACGACTTCCTAGAGCTGGCTGTCCGTCCAAACTGAGCAATCGGGGGAGAAGGGCCTTGGTCAGGGAGGTGACCAAGAACCCGATGGTCACTCTGACAGAGCTCCAGAGTTCCTCTGTAGAGATGGGAGAACCTTCCAGAATGACAACCATCTCTGCAGTACTCCACCAATCAGGCCTTTATGGTAGAGTGGCCAGACGGAAGCCACTCCTCAGTAAAAGGCACATGACAGCCCGCTTGGAGTTTGCCAAAAGGCACCTAAAGGACTCTCAGACCATAAGAAACAAGATTCTCAGGTCTGATGAAACCAAGATTGAATTCTTTGGCCTGAATGCCAAGCGTCCCGTCTGGAGGAAACCTGTCACCATCCCTACAGTGAAGCATGGTAGTGGCAGCATCATGCTGTGGGGATGTTTTTCAACGGCAGGGACTGGGAGACTAGTCAGGATCGAGGGAAAGATGAACGGAGCAAAGTACATAGAGATCCTTGATGATAATCTGCTCCAGAGTGCTCAGGACGTCAGACTGGGACGAAGGTTCACCTTCCAACAGGACAACGACCCTAAGCACACAGCCAAGACAACGCAGGAGTGGCTTCGGGACAAGTCTCAATGTCCTTGAGTGGCCCAGCCAGAGCCCGGACTTGAACCCGATCGAACATCTCTGGAGAGACCTGAAAATAGCTGTGCAGCGACGCTCCCCATCCAACCTGGCAGACCTTGAGAGGATCTACACAGAATAATGGGAGAAACTCCCCAAATACAGGTGTACCATACCAAAGAAGACTTGAGGCTGTAATCGCTGCCAAATGTGCTTCAACAAAGTACTGAGTTAAGGGTCTGATTACTTATGTAAATGTGATATTTCCGTTTTATATTTTTAATATACACTACCAGTCAAAAGTTTGGACACACCTACTCATTCAAGGGTTTTTCTTTATTTTTACTATTTTTTACATTGTAGAATAATAGTGAAGACATCAAAACTATGAAATAACACATATGGAATCATGTAGTAACCAAAAAAGTGTTAAACAAATAATATATTTTATATTTGAGATTCTTCAAATAGCCACCCTTTGCCTTTTGCTTACTACATGATTCCATATGTGTTATTCCATAGTTTTGATGTTTTCACTATTATTCTACAATGTAGTCCCCTGTAGCTCAGTTGGTAGAGCATGGTGCTTGCAACGCCAGGGTTGTGGGTTCGTTTCCCACGGGGGGCCAGTATGAAAATGTATGCACTCACAGTTGTAAGTCACTCTGGATAAGAGTGTCTGCTAAATGACTAAAATTAAAAAAAAAAATTTTTTAGAAAATAGTAAAAATAAAGAAAACCCTTGAATGAGTAGGTGTCCAAACTTTTGACTGATACTGTATGTGCAAACATTTCTAAAAACCTGTTTTTGCTTTGTAATTATTGGGTATTGTGTGTAGATTGATGAGGGAAAAAAACAATTTAATCAATTTGAGAAAAAGGCTGTAACTTAACAAAATGTGGAAAAAATCAAGGGGTCTGAATACTTACCGAATGCACTGTATCCTAAGTATAGGACAGACGCTTCAAAAGCTTTTCTTATGATTAATTTTTTTAATGGATTTTTTTTGTTGCCATTTATGAATGTGTATATCTATGGGCTATAGTAGTAAAGGCCAAATTCAGTATTTTATCAAATATTTTTTTATACCTAAAGGGGTCCTAAAATTTAAATCAAATAGCTAAATGATCCATGGTATGACCATCTTAAAACAATTCCATATGTTAACTTAGTAGAACCCCCCCAACAGCTTAGACTTTTAGAGGTTTTAAATATAAAGGATTAGCTGGCTACTCACTAGCACATGGGCTTGTGCTTGAGAGA